GAGCTTCAGCACGACCCCGGCGGCACATCCTCACGGACTTCTCCACGGAAGGGCGCGAAGAAATCTACTTACATTAAGATAAGAAAATAAGCAGTTGCTAGGCTGCTGGAAATGAAAACAAGAAAAACAGTGGCAAGGAGGAAGAATCTGTTGATTTATAGCGTTCCTGGATCTCATCCCTAAAGCCTCTGCTCTGCAATAGAAAAAATAATATAAAGTTAACCAAGCAAGGCAGTGGGGCAGGTGAGCCCCCTTTGGAACACACTTAGCTCTGTCCGGGAGCCACTCGGACAAGGCTGCCACAGAGGGCCGGAGGATGTCCCATCCCTTTTGTCCTCTCAAAAAGTAAATGTTTAGTAACACACCTCATTTTGTATTTGCTGAGCTCGAACTGGTGACAACAATGAAATCTGAAACGTGTTTTCGTTGTTTTCCAATAACGTATTTCAGATCTGATCTGAGCTTTAATCTATTTCAGTAACAAATTCAAGACTTATTTCCCAAATCTGACAATGAAGCTTGTTTGGCATCTAGACGACATGCTCATAACAGGACATTATGACTCCTTGTGTAGCTGTTTCCTCCATGGGCCCATTTACCTTGTCTTCACCGGAGATGTCTGCTGATCTAATGTCCCATATTTTAAAATATTTTTGGTATCTGTAAGACAAAACAGAAGTGCTCAAAGCAGGGCACAGCACTCTAAGTGGATAGATCAGATACGCTTCAGTAGGGCAAACAACTTTTATTACAGACTAAATCCGAAATAGGTTAGGATTATTCTGGCCAAGAGACAAGCTGAAATAGATGAATGAATTGTCTCGCTGCAGCTCCATCATGCCCAGACGACATTCCGGAACTTCCCAGAAACCACTGCTTTCCTGAGCTGTCCCAGGGACTGTGGAAAGGTTTGTGGAGGAACTCTTAACTCCTTTGCTAAATTGCCGAGGTATTCGAATGCAAGCACTCCTGTGCTCAACTCTTGAACCAATTTAACCACTGCTAAAACAGTTCATGGCACGAAGTCCAAGTGCTGGGCATCACTTGTTGCAGAGATGACATTTTCCATATGTGAATTTATTCAATGTATCTATATGGTTCATCACCAATAAAAAATTTGACAGGCATGAGTTTGCAAAAAGGTCGCTAATATGAATATGCAAGATCCAGGGCAAAGTTCAATTCAGAGTTTTCTTTATTAAAATACTTTTTCACATTCCTTAAATCAATGCATTTGCATGGACATTCATGGGAAAGAACATTTGTCAACAGAAGATTGCTATGAAGTCAGTCATTTGTGAAAGGCTTATGATACAAACAACATTTGCATGGGGAACAATAAATTAGAAGTATTAGCCAGTAACTGGAGTTTGAAAATTTAAACATTTGGAATGAGGATATAAAGCCCTTTTGTATTTCTTGCTGGTTTTGCACCTTCAACACAATGCTTAAAGCAGTAACTATATATGTATGTACAAATTCATGTTCTCTCTTTCACTATTTTCTAATTAAAATGAGAACATTCTTACCTGTGGCCCAGATCTTGTAGTAATTTAATCTGCAGTAAGAAAAGGAGAGCAATTGCAGTGTCATAGACCAGCTGGTTAAGGGGTTGGGGACAGTACTTTTTCTGGTTTGTTTTGTGTTTTTAAACTCACACAACTGAAATAAAGACATTCTGAAAAGATTAGATCCAGGTCCAAACTGGATCCGCCTTAGTGGTTTATCACACTACGTAAAAAAAAGTATAGGTATGGAGTTCCATACTGGACAAACTGGACACACATACAACTTCAGATCTCTCCTAAAATCAAATGAATAAGGATTATACTTAACAGGATTTTCAGGTACAAACTCACTGACCTGGGTGTAGTACATCCACCTACTCAAGACCAGTATTTTGCACCATCCAAAATAACTGTGATGGGCAGTCACTCCTTGAAGAACCATCACACCAAAATATCCAACAAGCATCAGAACTTTTAAAGAGGAAAAGTAGTTTAGTAAAAAATAAAGAATAGCTGTGCCTCTACTAACAGAAACACTTGGTAAAGTACTGAATCTCTGAGCAGCTTTTCAAGTTTTTAGAGAGCCCAGAGCTCAGTCTTCAGTTCAGCCATCATCACAATGCAGCATCCAGCTAGAAATTAGCTGGCTCCAAGACTGGTAGCAGTCCAGCTGCTGCAGCACAGGGAGCTCAGCACAAGCTGCAAAATCATGGCAAAGTATATACACGGCTGGTGGAGCTGTGCTGAGCCCTCTTCTGCCACAGTAGTGTTAATGACAACCAAGTTAGCTAGTTTAAAGCAAGCTTAGGCATTTCTAGATCCTGCTGGTATCACAGTAGTTACTGCACTGTAGAAATGAACTTCCTCAGCTATAGCTTCCCCTTTTATTTCCTCAGAGTGTGATGAACTGGAAGTTAGAAAGGCAAAATTGCATTAGCAGGAGAAATTAAAGATGAGAACCTAGGTCAGCGGTTCCTAGAGCCACTTTCCTATAGGAATTTTCATTTGTAATTTTTTCCATTGAATGATTTAGGAACATATCTATTGTTCCCGCTAAGGAAATAAACTTTGAAAAGAAGAGCCTGGCAAACTCATAAATAAGTGCTGCAGAGCTTCTGAAACAGTTGCAACATCTTCCATCTTGGCTTGTTTTCTTCTCCCAGCTGATCTTTGAGATGATTGTTCTAAGTAGCATCAGGATGCCCTTGTATTCTCTGTTGGCAACAAGACCACAACGGAAAAAATAAAAGGTGTGAGTATAAATGCCCCCTCGTCCTCTCCTGTCCTTTTTGATCAACACAAAAACATTAAATATAGTAACATATTCCTTAGAGTATTGTACAATGAGCCAATAAATACTCACAATTCCCCGGGGAGATATTATCTTCATCAGATAAAGAAGGAAATAAGACAGTGGGAGACTTAGGTTAACAACTACAGGCTGCAATACTTAAAACCAACATCTGCAACTGGGTGTTCACTGATAGAAGTTGGATTCTTAAGGGAACCTCTGGCACTCAACAAATCTGGAAGTCAGATCCCTCACTTACTAGAAGATGCTCAACTGCCACAATTGCACCCTACAAAAATTAAAACCTCTTCCAAAGAAGCACTTGAATATCTCAGCTGTGAGCAATGCAGCGTTTAACTTTTAGACACCACATTTCTACAAAGAGTCTGCTCCTTGGAACAGGTTATCTTCAGTGCACAGCAGTGACACAGAACCTGGCACCAAGGACCACAAAAGGCAGCGCACACAGCGAGTTCTCCACACTAGCTAATGGGAAAGGGCAAAGAGAGATGCCAGACTTCATTGTCTTTACATCAGATGACAGAAATGATTCTGTCCACTGAGGATTCACAACTGTCAAGTCTTTCCTGACATCAGTTGCCAAAGCAACTTTTCCTCCAACAAATACCTAAGAGTACACGGTGGCCTCTAACCTAATAGTTTAGTCTGTCGGTGCCAAGGCGCCTAATTCCTTTTGTGGACTTACCCCCAAAGGATTTGCCCAGTGAGTCAGAGGCAGGAATTCCTGGTTTATAATTCAATGTTTATTTCAGAGTATCACCTTGTTCTTCATATCCTGACTGCCTGAAATCCTCCCTCCCCAAATTTTAAATGGACACATCCTTCATCTTCATTTCCTGTCTGAAGCTATTGTGCCATGTTACCATGCACAGTTAAACATGTGCCAGGTCCTCCTTTGGAGCTGGCAGGGTGAAGAGGTTCCTTTACCCCTGAGAATTTACAAAATGCTTTTGGGCTCACTTGAATAAGATGAGAAAGTAGTTAGAAAAACCCAAACGAAACACAGAAAGTTCTCCAAATAGATTTAAATTGTACAGGTTTCTGTCTCACTGGCTACACACTGAGGTTGAACAAATAGGCATCTAAAAGTACGCTGTATCCTGACTCCTCGTGCACCTCTAGGATAGAACCAACCAACCACACACATCTAAGAGGCAACAGCAGTGGATGAGATGCAAAGTCAAAACGTACCACTGAGGTAAATTTGACACAATACCAATTAGTATTTGGCGAAGCAGCTATCTCATTGTTAAGATATTTCCTTCAATATGTTTTCAGAAACTGGGACCATTAAATAACTTAGAAAGATTGCCAGCTCTGATTTCAGGAAGGAAACCTCCTCCCAGTTCCTCTCTAAGTAATTCATTTCTTTCGCAAATACTTCTATGGATGGCATTTAAGATACAAAATTCTGAAACGAAGGAAAAAGGAAAGCAACCCCCAACCCAAAACTTCAGGTTAGTTTCTAGAAGACTTAGAAGTCCAAGACATCCAGGTTCAAGGTACTCTTGATTGCAAGTCGGTCAGAACCTGCACTGCAATTGGACCTTCATAAAATTCAAATTATTCAAACTTGAACTGATTGTTTTTCTAACGCACCACCTTTCTTGACATAATACAAACACTTTCAATGTCTCTGTGTAACACAACACTTATTGTCACTACACAGTGTTTACTAAAGCCATGAGCTCAATTTTGTAATGGTCTCTCAGTGAAAATGAAGCCAAGTTCCCAGGTTTCCATGCTGGATTATATTTATTCTGACAGAAACTATATAGAGGCAAATGCACAAGAGCAGGGCTAGCACTCATTAAAATGATTTGCTTCATCTTTGTTTTCCACAGTGCAGAACTCTGTTTTGCCTGTGACTTCTGAAAGAAGTCTGAAAGAACTGAATAAGTTAACAGAATTTATCTGAGGAGTGGAACCCACACTGTTATTTGAATTTAGAGAATGAAAAGAACAGCAGGATCTGATGTCAAGTCTCTGCAATCATTACTGAAATGAAAAGGCTGCATGTCCTCCTTCTCTGAAAACATCGTTCTTAGCAAAACATTACTCTGCTGCGGTGCCCTTTGTCCCCCACCTCCCGAACACCTGTTACTTCTTAAACCGAGTTAAATTCTACAAGTTTTTTGACACGTTACTATAGTTAAATAATCCTTCTGGCATTTCACACAACTAAAGTGCCAGCTGACCAGCCTCGCTCCTGAAGGCCTCCTTTCGCTCACAAATTAGGAGAGGAGGAGTTTGAAAGCAACTTAACCTCTGAGCCAAATACTTCTATTTGGCTAGAAAGAAGCAGAACAGCTGGGGAGGAACTTTAAGCCACTTGATCGCTTTATAAGGAGCATTTTCCTTTTCATGAGTAGGATCAACAACTCCTCATTTGAACCAGACCTCTGAGGTACATCACAGCTAAGCATTGTGTGAAAATGAGCTATCCCCCACAAAAAAAAGTTTCAAAAAATAATGATAGAAAAGTACCTTAGTAGCTCCCTGCCTCTTCTGCACTTAAGTCTGTTTCCTGAAAAGTGCTGAGAGACAAATAGGGAGAATGGAAAAATCTACACAGAAAGTTAACAATTTAACTGTCCAGTCCAAATCGAGGTGACCTATCTGGAGAGTTGGAAAGTGGGATGGTGATGCTTTTTGTCACAGGTTTTATTGGGAGTACAAGTGGGAATTTAAGAAGTAGAAGATGGGGATCTGTTTTTCCTTGCTAGGTCCTTTAAAGCACTAATATTCTAAAAAGAGGAACAGTTACTATGTTAAGTACATGAACAGTATCCTAGGAGGGGACAATGTCATAGACATGAACTGAGTAAGGCTACTTCTAGGAAAAGTCAACCACGACATGAAAGTGTAATAAACTGACTTTTGATTGCGGTGTTTTTGAAAATGTAATTAGTTTTACAGTGTAACTAGTTTTATTACTCTCCTACTGTTAATAGGAATTTGTTCAAACACACTGCCCTCAGCTGACACTTTTCTCCCTTGAATCTAACATTACTTCATAGATTGTCTGGTTTAACAAACCTTAATAGCCCAATTAATTATGACAAGAGTGATTTCCAAGGGGTTAGTCAGTGTGTTTTCACTGAAGCAGCCTCATTATACTTCCACGGAGGTTTTTACTTGCTTGTGGCCACAGGAAATGAAACAAAAAAAAATCTTCACAAAACTTTAGTCTTTCCTCCAATGTCCATTATAAATTACGTAGCGTGTGGAAAAATGAAGACAAAAGATGTTTATCTCAGCCACCCTTGACCATTTTTCCTTTTGTGTCGTGCAGAGACAAACTTTCTTCTGCGTGCCTCTCCAAGGAATTCCTGGTATAACCCAGAGGAGGGCTCTGCTCAATTTATTTTTAGAAAATTGAGAGCACAGAATAAAAACAAACCTTTAAACTAAGAGAGACAATGATACTATAAACCCTACTGGCCTGTTAGTATATGTCTGTTTATTGTAGCACAATCTGTGACCTTCAGTGCCCTGCCAGTGTCTGTAAATAATACAATGGGCTGCTTTTTATCCCATGGGGATGTGAGTGCTGATGGAGCCTTTCAAAACTCAAATGGATGCCGTAAGCTGACGTAGACTGTGCTATTGTGGTTCTTATTTATGAGTCTCTTTCTTTTTAAGTACAAATTCCAAAGTCACAAAATGGAGGGCAGAAAAAACACACAGCCTGCATGGTTTGAGGTTAACTGAGCTTATCTAACATTCCTGAAAGAACTCCTGAAATATAAGTTCTTTGCCCCTTAGATGTCTGAGAGCTGAGTAATAGATCATTCTTTTATTTTTTTTTTTTTTTTTCCAAATGCATATTCTTTCACTGACTTCTTAGCCCTATAAAGCTGTTCACCACCTCTAGGACTTTCACAAAACTCCTGATGGTTTGGATGAGATCTCCATATATGGATGGTTCTATTCTCACCTCTCGGTTAGGGCAGCATCGCTGTCACATAGCTATGTAGTCCGAGGTAAAAAATTGCTTGCCTTTAAAATTTCTTAGAGGGTCTCAGTTTTTGCCACCAGCCCTTTGAATCATCCCACTTGCTATACCAGTGAATGAAACTGAACTCAGAAGGAGTCAGAGACAGTGAATAGAAGTGACCTCCACAAGTTCAGGCAGTCGGCCGTTCCTCCTTAGTTTAACTCATTTCATGTTTTAGGAAGGACCTCACTTCCCTGGATGTTCCAGTCACAGCATGTATGTGCGTGCATGTGAACAGGCACACCCCTGTAAAATCTAGAGATTTCACAGATGGGCCTGGGCCTGGAACCACAGCTCTGTCCCCAGTGACAGGTTAATCAGTGTTGCAGGTTTTCATATGCAAATCTTGAGTGCTTCAGGTCCACCTGGAACCTAAAGCAAGCAGTAACTTTGTGCTACTCTTTCAGTATGAGGATGTGTGTTACGTATCCAGAGCTGTGTGATGTTCAACACAAATTCTTGGAAGATCATTATTCGTCACCTGCCTCCTGTACCAGCACTATCAAAACCAGTCAGTTCCATGGACTTTTAAAACTATTCTATAAACATTGTACTGAAAGATTGATTACTAAAAATATATATGAAAGGATTGCCCAGTAGCTGTCCAGTAATGTCCTGAACAACAAATAATTAAAATGTAGCAACACTTGAACACTGTCTCACTACATAAACAATAATCTCAATCCAATTTCCCTAATTTCAACTGCTTGCGTAAAATGTATACTTACAGAATGCCTGTTTTCCACAGAATCTGCAAAATAAAACACAACGTACAAATTATGAAATGGCACATTGCACAGTGATCAATTCTACGCTCCCCAAAATAGATGTAATCTAACTTTTTTTGATCACCTTGAAATGATGTAAAATTGCTACCTACAGCTAAGGTTCAAGCTCTGGTCCTAAGAAGCCTCCACGCACTAACAGAATTCAAGTACATGGGTAGGACCAGACACTTCAAAGACTGTGTTGAACAGTACATGTTTGACAGCTTTCCTGATTATGGTTTAGAGCAGAAGTCTCTACTGATAGCACAAGCTGTTACTGGACAAAAAAAAGTCTTCCTTTCAGAGGTAAGTTCTCATGCGTGCTATACTTCCTCTTCCAATTCCTTGCCAGGAAAATAACGTACTGCAGAAATCCGGTATAGGATGCAATTTCCAGAGCCAAATCCAGATCTTGCAAAGACACCTGAAATTTTATTTATAAAAATACGCTTGTTCCAAATGAATGACTGAGAGCTAGTGGGCGCTTTTTATTTAGGATCAGTGAACTTTAAGATTAGATCAGATCCTAGGCTTTTTTTTTTTTTAATATGGATTTAACTATTCGGAAGTTTCACAGAATATCTTTGAAAACTAAAACAAATAGTTTTTTTCACTCTGAAAGCAAGGTGATCTAAGAGACACAAAGAAAGTAACAGCTTTTAGAAGAGGACTTCAAGTCTTGCTAACAGTGCTTGTTTGTATGCTGGATCTTGAAGGGTATATTCTTGGAAAGCATATCAAACAGTGGAGAGAGACTGCGTCAAAGACATTCATCTAATGATCAAAGCAGTGGGTCTGGACTAGGCTTAATCTTGCCAACATTTTTGTCTATAAATGTGGGATAGTTTCTGAATCTGTGGTTTTTTTCAAAGTACATTTTTTTAAATAGCAAACAATAATATCAGTCCTCTCATAGGCAGACTTACTACTACCTTAAATAGACCTTAATAAAGGTCTTGTAGAGGCTCCCTTGCCAGCCAGCAGAAGTAATAAGGAAACTGAACAGAGGTGAAACTAACTTTGCAGATAACAATGCCAAAGTCTCTTTTTCTCTCTCCTTTCTGATTACATCCATTGACGTGCAGTTAAGCTCATATAGTTTCTACCATCCATGTTTTCATTACATTAGGATTGTGATTCTGCTTCACTGAAAGCAGCACCATGAACACATTATACAACCGAACTGCAATTCTTGACATGCAGAGACTACATCAATGTCACTGGCACTGTACACGATCAGTTTTCTCCAAGACTGTTCTAGCCAGAACTTCTAACCTAGGAAAATGATTAAAAACTGAGCTGACTACAGCACCTTATACCATTGCATAAACTTAATTTCAGTATAAAATTGATCTCAATTTTATCTGGCAAGATTGATCCTTACACATCTGGCCAGTTTGATAAGAAACAAAATAAAAAGTTACATAGGAAATATGTAAAAGCTTTTTGTGTCCTGAAAGCTGACAAAGTGAACAAAAACACTGCTGACACAGGGCTACATGAAAGCTTGACTTTAGGTGCACAAAAGTGTATGTAACGTTTACGAAGTGAGGTATTAATGAGCTGTCATTTAGTCCTCTTTCACAATGTATTGTGCTTACAGGAAGGAGGAAATGAGAAGTTTTGTATAAATTCCAAACTTCAAACAACGGGATGTTTGCTATCCCAAAGCTACGAGGTCACGTTAACAGATATCCCACCTCCTTGTTATCTGTCACCCGCATTCAAAATAGCGTGGCTTTCTAGTTAACTGTCATATCTCCACCAGGAAAACGTCATAACCTGTGTACTTTGAAAGTGCTGCTGGAAGACGACACAATTTCTATAAGGCACCAATCAGGCAAACCAGCAAGTAGGCTCTAATGAAAGCACAACGATACGGTGCTTTTGCTGATTCTTTGCTACGTCAATTTTTTCACAACCTTTTTATCTCATTGCTATTAAAAATATGAAGTGTCTTTTACAAGAAACACACTGATTTTACTGTGATGAAAGAGAACAGAGAGGTTTTCAGATGACACTTGGCTTCCCCCTACTAACAAAACCAGGGAAATAAGATATGCTGGATTCTAGTCATATAAAGAAAAATTGGTCAAGTTGCCATAGCAAGGCAAACAAGAAGCTGCATATTTCATGAAAGGAATCACAGCTGAAGGTTGGTGCTGGTAATTTCTGAAATATACCTAAGTCTATTAAAGGTAGGTTTTTTTATGGATTTCTGGTGGCTTTAAACTCTTTCTATTGCTTTTAGTTGATGCAGTTTGAAATTCAAGAAACACGCTTTTACAGAAGAATACAGTAATGGTAGGAATTTAAGACACTGTCATCCCTACCTGCTCTGCCCTTCCTTGTTGCTAGAGGTTGTGGAGAAGAGAGTATACACCTAAACTGTTGCGATTCATAAGCCATCTCAAACGCATCGCCCACTCTGGTGAAAGCTAAGATACTAGATTATCAGCTGAAGATGCTGGAGACATCCTACACTCTGCCAAGTGCTTCACTGGAGCGGTAGCTTCTAACAGAGAATCTTGGCAGGCAGCTTGGGAACAGATCTTACACAGGGGCACGCACGCAATTCAGCTTTGCACTTTAGGTTCAAGTAAGGTCAGAAGCTCCCTGAATAATTGTGTCTTACTGAAACCACCTGGCTTTGACTAATTTTTGGCTGCAGCTATCTAAGCATTTGGCTCTGGAATCAATGTCTCACAGATCTGGGCTTTGGTTTAGAATACGTCTTGAAAGATTTTCTTTTGGAGGAGGGACAGATTATTTGCATGATTTTGGACTGCATGCAACTAGCATGGGCTCCATAAGGCCTGAGTTTTGAATAACATAATGAATCCCCAGACCCCGTGAGTTTTCTTTATGCTGGAAAAGACATTCAGTGGGAAACTCTGGCTAAGTACAGAGGTGCTAAGCCTGAGGCTCAGTAGCAGGAAAGTATCTGAGCAGATTTCCTGATTGCTAGAACTGATTTCTAATAGTTTGTTCCAAACCACTGAATGCAACGGGGATTTCTCATGCCACTTTCCACTGGGATATATTTGTTTTTTCCATAGTACATTGTTGGTTACAATAGGATTCTTAAAATTTCCTGTCTCACCACTGCAGTTGCTTCTAAGTGACCAATTAATTTTTCCAGACTTTGCAGCATAAAGGGTGGCTCTGCATTTTGTTCACTAGATTCCCATTTTCCTAATAAAAAATTAGGAACTTCTATCTCGCAATAAGCCACTATGAGTTCAATTCAGTGCACAGCGGGATCAGTGCAAAGCCTGTCATTGCCTTCTGTGAGCTTTGGATCTAATGCAGAGCAAAGTTCACTAGGGAGCAAGAATGTCCGAATACAATGTCTTCCACAAGAAGTGCCCTGTAAAAATGCAAGGAAATCCAAGAACTGGGATCAATGTTGAGGGAAGAGGCAGAGCTGAGATAAAGAATCAGTATAGAGATGTTTGGGTTTCCTGCCCCTACTGCCTCTCAGGAGGATGAAAGGTGTGATGGAAGTAAATCATGCATCTAAAAGAGCCTCCACCCATCCAGCTGAACTTAGCATCTGACACATCCTGACCCGTCTCTCAGGAAGAGCATCAGCTGCCAGCCTGGCCTGCTGGGACTCCAGCACAGGCAAAGCAGGCAGCAGGGCAACAGTCTCTTTATCATTCTTGGCAGACTGTTGGTTTAGACAATTGCCTGTTTTGCTTAAGTCTTGGACTGTCTCGGTTCTTTCTGAACAAAAAAAGAAACAGCTCTGGAACTAGGCTGAATATTCCTGACTCCAAGTACACTTTGACCTTTTCATAGAGCAACCAGAGAAAGCAAGGAAATATGCAAAGGACCTTTAGACAAATGCGTTATTGACCTGAGTGGTACTAATGATGACCATTCCCCAAAATGCCACTGGGTATAAGGTTTAAAGCTGAGGCTTTGAAGCTTTAGGTATTTTACATAAAGTAACAGCCTATTGCCCTAGAAAAGGTTTTTTAAAATCAAAACCTGGGTGAACTTCCTGAACACTGAATCTTCTTTCTCTAAATTAAACTAACCTTTCAGTAACAATGCAAGGACAACTTCATGTCTTTGAGTCACTTCCAGAGACAATGCTAGCGATCAGCATCCTCCTTAAACCGGAGGAAATCTAGCATCCAACTGCAGAGACTGAAATTCTCTATCTACTGTCTGTTTGACTGTCTAATTGACTTTCAATCAAAATACACCCGACGACTTGAATTTTGCAAATGACCTGCCTTTCCTACTCTTTGCGGTTAACTGTAGTTAACCATATGCAGGCCTTTAGGAACCTGTAATGTGCATTTAGCAGTTTGTTTCTGCCTACATTTAATGTAATACCTCTTTAGGCCTAATACTCAGAATAACAAAAGCAGCACAGCAGATAGGAGGGAAAGCCTTACCATAGTGTGATGGAGACACTAAAATGCTAGTAACAGGAGATAACATGGTCAACAGCAGGAAAATAAAAAGAAAAGGAGTAATGGCAGAAGCTCAGCACACTGCAAAAGGCCTGGGGCTTGGGAAAGGTCAGAGCATTATCTGCACTATGGGATAAGGACAACCAATAGCTGTACAACTCTTCAGCTTCCTCTCTAGTGGCAACAATTTCTGGAATGCACAGACAACTCCTTGAAAAGACAAAATTGCTTCTGTAGCACTCAATTGTAATTAAACAAACCCAAACCTCAACAGTTACCTACAAACAAATAATAAAAAAATGATTCTTAGGCCTTAAGTGTTAAGCCTGTCAAACCGTGTAGCTGACACCAATTCCCAAATTCATGTGATTTTCCCAGAGGACACATTTGTCTAAACAATTAACTTCCTGAAGCGGATTATATTCTTGGGCACTTGCTCAAAAAATCTCAAAAGAATATTCAAACACAAGGAAGATCATGATGGTAAACCACCTTCTGCACTCACTAGTAATGTTCAACATCTTTCACAGTTGGCCTTTCATATACTTTTAATACATAAAGTTCTTTGAAAGATAGATCTGTTTCTTAGGGATCCTCCACTGTGTCTATACTTTGCCACCTTTCAATCACACAGCCTATCAAAAATCAAAGTAAATGTTACATTTAAATAGACTGTAATGTAGCTATCCAAAGCAACTGCACAGCTCTGTGATGCACTGCCTATCTAATTGAAACACTTTTCCTGTCTATCAGTCAGGAAAAACAGACGTGATTAAAACAATAAACTGTTACTATGTTTCCAAGAATAACTGAAACTGTAGAACGTTATGCATAAAAGAGCAGGTGGACTGCAAGATTAAGGGCTGTTTACATATCATCTGGATAATTCAGCTCAGTCTTTCAATCATATCTCATTTTATTGCAGTTCCCACTTTATGGCAAGTACAGTCTTGTAAGTGCTTTGAATTATAGCTCTGCTGTACCACCCTTGAGATTACATCACAACTCACAGAACATCCTTCTAGTATATAACACTTCCCGTTATGTCAAAAATAGGAATGGCGAAAGGTGTAATAATCGGCTTCACACCTCGGCAGAAAGCAAACGAAGGGTTATACAACCGGCTTCCGCATCTTGTTACAGGTGCCAGCCACACTCACCAGAAAACATTTCAGAACACTAATGGCCTTCAGGCTCAGCCCTAAAATGAGGTGGTTTTCTCTCATGATACTGCCAGGTGATCCTACGCTGAAGTGCCTGGCCCTGCTCTTTAGCGTAAAGGATATTCTGCTTTTCACTGTGAGAAATGGGCACAAATTCTAGGCTCAGCATCAAGCCAAGAGTCAGGATTCTAAAATTCTGTTCCCAGTGTTGTCACTCGCTAACACATTGCCTTAAACAAATGACCTAATCTCTCTGTTTATTCAGCTGTAAAATGGAGATAAAAATTGCCTTGTAAGTCCTCACAAGGGAAAATTAAGTAATGTTTTCTAAAGTACTTGGAGATCCTCAGCCAAAAGACTCCCTAGAAACAGAATACTGTGTCAGAGCAGGTGGGAAATCTCTTATAAAATAGAAGAATAGCAAATTAAAATGCAATGATCAAAATTTAAAAATGGCACACTGCAAACCTGGCTGGTAATGTGGATGGGGACAAAATCTGAACAATTTAGAGTCCTAATATTTACACATCTTGACTCCCTAACACAAAAAGAGGAAAGGAAATCCCTTCTGATTTAGTCTTTGACAAACTATGAAGAAACACTTTTAACCTACTGTCTCTGAGCTCATTACTGCCAGAACATTTATAGACAGTAATTGCCAGTAAATTGCTACTGCCCACATAAAGAAGTTGGTGTTACAGGAGGTGGAAGGGTAGAGTGGCTGGTACATGTGATCCGAAACAATTTCTGATGGTACTTAAAACAACCAACCCACCCTACTGAAGTGATCATATCGCTTTAAAGGTTTTTAAGAGTTTTTTGTTGGAGGCTTTATACATATTTGCTGGGGTTATATCCAAAACCAGTGTAATATTCTAAAACATAAGGCAAACATGCTCAACTCTGAGGAAAAGTGGTGTTCATGAGTAGTATGAGATAACACAGCATCCCTAAATCCCTAAGAGAGCATGTTCAGCTCCAGAATCAGCTCCAGATGTATGGCCAAACTACTTGGCAGATACACTGCAAACAGGCTGATGAAGTAGATGGTACAAATATTAATCTCACCACATTAAATATCCTTGGTTTATGGGAAACCATGAAGGTGTTACACAAGCTGTCAACACCTGTGATTTCATAGCTGCCCTTTACTATGTTCCTATGTGACACGGATCTTTTTCATGGCACTTATCTTCTAAACTATTCAGTCACAAATTTATCCCTCACCTCTATACAAATGCTTCCTTTATGTGTTTAATTTTTCACTAGCTTACTTACCATTAATAGCTTTTCTGATTTCACTATAAACTGTTTCAGTCCCCTTCTGTACAGGAGCTGGAAAAATGTATTGGCACAGAATCAATTTCTTATCTTTTTTTGATTGCCTTATGAAAAGCTCCTTAAACAAACAGAACACACTGTTTTACTTTCGGAGGAAGTACTTACATAAGCAGCAATGAGCCTGTGGGGTCTCCACAAAGAAGCAACCACACCCCCTCCCCCAAACCTAGACTATAAGGTTCTGAGAGGGAGACATCTCTCCCTCCATATAAAAATGATGATGGAAATGGGCTTCTCTTTCTAAATTTGAATTTAACATTCTATTAAACTTCTCAGATTGATACTGCTTTAATTTTATAATGACATCTACTTCTAGAGAAGAGTTTCACTGGATCAGTTTGAAGATTTGTCCTAAGGATTTAGGAATCTTAGAACTGAGGTCTGGTATTTGGAAGACTAACTACACCCCTTTTCAGCAACTAGCCTTATTAAATCTTATGGGCACATAAAAAAAATCTAATTTGCTGTTCTTTGCAAATATTCTTCTGAAACATTTCACCGATTTCACACTGTGTAGCTCATAGTTTGGTGCTATCTGGGACAGGTCTCAGCTGCTCAGTGTGGTGAACTCTTCCACTGAGATCAGGTGGACATAGCAGGAGTGACAACTAAGAAAGCTTGTGGAAAGATGGAAAGTAAAGAGAAAAAACAAGCAGAGAAGATTTGTGCCTCCAAGGACACAGCTGGGATACAAATGCAATGTTAGTCTTTGACATATACTTTCAGATCCTTAGGTTTACACATAAGCCCTTATAAACCTCTGCTCTGGTATGAGATGGAAAGCAAAAAGCCCTCTGTTTTTTGCTGTCTGACATCTGTGAAAACTTATCCACAGAGGTTTGATACCAAACTACGGATGCTACACTGGTAAGGAAAAGGCAAGGAAAAGGCCCTGAAAATAGCAAGAACTCAGCTTCTCTGGGTTCCGTGTGAATACAGTTCTGGGTGGGAAGAGATTAGAGCAATTTCCTTGATTTCTCGCATGGTTATAGATTAAGAACCCTTTGGCAACCACAGTAAAGCAAAGTGCTTCAAAACTCTGTGCATTTAAAACCACTTTCTTCCTTTGGTATAAAGGCCTATGCAGACAGGGTCTAGGAGCTTGCTTTTCAAGGATTTCAAAGCATTTTAAAATCATGCATTTCAGTTAAATCAAATCTCTTAGAAAACCTCAGAATTCTGTCAATATCACCTCCAATTTCTGCGAATCTTCAATAAGCTGGGAAGTTACATTTTTCTAGTAAAAAAAAAAAGTAAAAAAAAAAAATTGTTCCCTCTCTACAAGAAACTGGACAGAAAATTCACATTTCTGGATAGAGTCCTGTACCTTAGTTAATAAAACACATTTAAAGAATTCAGTAATATTGATCTGCAGCCAGACTCTTAATCGGGATTATTACTGTTCTGCATTGTTCTGAAGAACATAAGTGTCTCTGGAACCACATTCTGATTTTCCAAAGCTAATTTTAAAAAAAAATTTAAAAAAATCTGTTAAGGATCCTGTAAACGTTAGGAGCTAACACATCAGAATTGAGTTGCAAAACTGCTACTAATTTCAATGACGGTAGGAATTAGACTTTACCGAGTGCCTATTCATGCTTTCAAACCTGCACTTTTGGCATGACCTTTCTTTGCAAAACAATCTGAGGACCTTGAAGGACATTTCATGTGCTTATGAACTATTGCTTAAATGATCAATTTCCAGGGAAGTATGAATTCTCACAGTTTTAATGAGAGGTAGTTCATTTACTTTTGAACACTTTTTTCAGTATATTGCAGTCCTAAATCTACTCCTGTTGACTCTGTGGAAAGACTTGGTGGGTGGCATTTCCTTAGCTAGCTCTTTTTTTTCAGATCTGTTTCATTGCATTGTGATATAATGCTACTCTGCCTGTTACTTTCTTTGTTAATCTTCCAAAAATCATCTCAGCACTGAAGAAATGTGCTAGGAGAAATTACTTGGATGATTTGACATTTTGTTCCCACTAACTTTATAATGTTGCCACCCTGCAGATAACCAACCAGCTACAACAGTAAAAGAGGGAGCATGTTCTTACTCAGCCATGATAAGCAGTTTCTCCCTTTTCACTTCATTTCCTGATCTTATTTTAGCACTGGCCTTTGGCTTTACTTAGATTAACAAAAAAGGATCTAAATCACTTTACCATCTTTTTGCATAACTAAGCTTTAGAAAAGACAACCACTGTATTTTTGTCAAGCATATCATCTCTGTCAGTATTTGATTTAATCATTCTCTAGAATCACAACCTCTTTAAATATCAAATTAACATTCCACTATGACTAGCCCAAATAAAAGCTGGACTGTGAAGCCGCAGCTTTACCTCATATTTGTCTAGCTCCTTCACCTCTACTTCGAAAAGTAGGTATGAAGTTATTTCCATGTGGAAGGTTTAAAGTAAAGTAGCAAAAGTTTGCTTCTAGCAAGCTTACCACTGTCAGTCACACTGTAATGAATCCTAGTTTTTGCTCCTCCAAATGGAAGCACAGTATACATAAAATTCTTGAAGCACTAGCCTATTAGTCATTAAGCTGTTTTAAGAAGTGTTTTAGAAATTACCAGTTAGTGCAGACATGACTGGGAAAAACAAAAGAAAAGTTGGAACCATCGTCTGGAAATATAAGTAGTTCTTTAGCATCAAAGACAAGATGTACATCTTTCTGCAACTATGAAAACTTGTTTTGAGGTGTCATTCAATTCCTCTCGATTCCCAAAAGTGACACAAGGGCTACTGTTATGGCTTAGATACTGCAGTAGTCTTTCACAATAACAAAATCTCCTGCTCCTGAGATGAATATTAGCATTGGCATTGTCAACAGCAGCAGGATGAACCAACGGTTGGGAAGAGAAATTAATTGGAAGTTTGTCCTAAGAGATTAGAGAAATCTGGAGTTTCTCAAAAGGCAAAAGGAATCAGGGTCTATGTGCTGCCTGAGGGATGAAATATAAATGCCCGAAATAAAAGGTAAGTGTGATAGATTTTGTCTTCATTCAGAAAACAGGTGGAATCAAAAGAGGCACAACAGGGATTTGGAGCTAGGTGATAATCTGAAAGGTGTGTTCCCTAAGAAGGACTGGTCCTAACCCACAGGCAGACATGAAAGAATATTAGGATTTGAAACAAAACTTGTACAATAACATCAGCATGGCAGAAGTATTGGTGGCAGTCCTGTGGCTGAATTATTTTTGTGGGTGTACATGATTATTACAAGGGTATATAAAGAAACCTGGCTTTGCTTCTCTTTTCCCAAGAACAAATCTCAACCTGTTCTCATTGTGATAGGCAGTGCAGAGCTGAAAGAACTAATCTTGCAACTTGGCTGCACACAACTCCTTCTATTTAAGCAGCATCCTCAAGACACTCTGTCAGATTAACACATTACATACTTGCAGTGCAGTTGCCATTTATGTAACCAAAGCACGCATTTGCCAAGCATTCACTTACGTCCTCGGTGCAATGAAACAAAGAGATTAGGCAGCTAGCTACCATATCTCGATATACCCGAAGCACTGTTTAGTCTTATAGAACCAGTTAACATCCTGTATGTCATACGTAGGTCTGTAACATGAGAGCATTCAGCTAAAATAATCTGATTTCATTTACACACCATCTTTCAAATATTGCTTTGCAGTTTGCAGTTTAGTGGGATTCAGTCTACATAGCATGGATATTGTCTTACTACTCAGTCTCATCTACTGGAATAGTATTACATATCAGGAATGGGATGAAAAGGCTATTTTTAGAGATGCTGATCTTGCATTTAATGGGGCTTTACATTTAAATAATCACACACTATCATATCTTTACCATTTAATAGGGCTTTAAAATTAAATAACCATGCACTAGCATATCTTCACCACGCTCAGAAACAGTTTGAACAATTAAGTATTAGCATTATTCTGAAAAAGACTACAACTACTATGGTATGTCAGAGCAGAATTTAGCAGAGGTGGATAAATAGCGTGCTTAGAACACAGGGAAAACTTTGTGATGAACGATACCAGCAAACAAGAGCAGAGAAAGGAGGACTGGCTGTTGCAGGAAAGCTTTGCTGCCAGGCTTGAAGGGTGAGCCTTCTTACCCAAACATCTTGCCCTAACTACACTATTGTGTCTTTGGGCTCTGAAGTGAGTGGTCCTTCGTGTGAGGAAAAAGCAAATTTATCCATTTCTTCCTCAGTCTGCTTCTCATTCAGCTAAAGCAAAGAGGCTAGACCATAGCATAAGCGTCTCTCACCAGTTTTGTTCACTCTTAGCCACTTGAACCTTGTGCATTTCTGAAACACGCAACAGCTTTCAACACAGGTGCACAATGATCTCACGGTTCTCCAGGTGACACAGAATGATTTAAATGTGCACTTGGGTGCTGAGAATAAATTTCAGTGGGCGTTTCTCCTTCAAGGTTGCAGAGACATGTACCTTAGCCTCATGCTATGAGGTCTGGTTACTGCTACCACAGAACTACAGGTAGGAAGCCAAAGTTATCTGGGCATCAATATTCTATTTAATGTGCCACAGGTTCTAGAATGGTCTCCAGGCCTCTCCCAGCTGCGAGAATAAATCTAAGCTGGTCTGTCCTCCTTCTCTATCATAAGTGAACTGCAGCTTTGACCCTTCAACCAGTTCTTTTATAAAGGAGGAAATTCCCCTGCTTTCTGTTCTCTCCATTAGCCTAACCTACTGTGGCTAACCTCAAACATCTCGGTGAATTTGGACTGTCTGACACAAAGATTGACAGCAGGTTGCCTGCTGCCCAGAGCCACAGCTCCAGCTGGGAGCTCTGCTCTGCACAGACCTCATGTGGATGGGAAGGGTGAGTGCACGAGGGGATCCCGAGGGAAGAAGGGCTACAATGATCAACCGCATGGCTGCCACAGCATCAGCTAGATCAAGCAGCACTACTGGCATGAAACTGTCATGCACACAAAAACCCACATTCACAGGTGCCAACATCAGCCCAGTGCCAGGGAGTAGCAAAAAGCCCTGAGTTGCTCCCAAAACATAACCATTGAGGCCAGTAAGTTATTTACCTCTGTGAAGATCAAGCGTCGATACTTCAACTTCAGTGTACTCCACCTCAGCACTCTCAAGGTCAGGTCCTGCCCCAAAAATATCAAGAAGACGTTTCTCTGTAGGACTGCATGCTGCATTTGAGTTGTGGGCCTGATCCTGCTGCCACTGAAATTAATGGACAAGTCCTCACTGACTTCAATCCACGCAGGACCAGGCCCTACTTATGGCAAATGTGAGTCACTGAGTTGTAAGGCCAACACGCTCCTAAGGGTCATCCCAATTTGAAAGGCAGTAGGGCCAACTCAAGCCAGATTTCCAAAACTGTGGGATGTGTAAATTATGTCTAAAACACGTACGTTTGATTTAACTATTCAAAAGGGGCACGATACAAATGGAGCAGGGAATTATCTGAGATTGTCCCATATTCCTGCTTCAGCTCCTCTCTCTTCTATTTCTCTGCCTGCCATTACTTTTTTCTCCTTTTCTATGGCTGCTATGGTGGGACACTTCCCATTCTCCACTTTCTTCACATCTAAAGCCTTCTGTGGCCTCCCACATCACCTCTCATACACTTGACTCACTAAAACTACTGGCTGACTGGTACTGGCTACCTGGACACAACAGACATAAGAAACAGTGCTAGCTTTCTACTCTGACTTTTCCTTAGGGTGGAAACGGTTTGCTACAAGACTTGTACAAAAGTTTAAAGGAACCACAACAGTCATCCAGACTGGAATCCTGCAGAACTGTTTGTGGGGTTTTTTAGAACAGAAATTAGAGAAAGATCTAATGATTAGAATACCAAAGTTTTGGAGCAGCCTTCCAACAGCATTTTTGAGAGAAGGCGGGGAAAAAAGAGGCTGAAAAAAACAGTGTTTAAGGTAGCATATTAGTTAATAACAAAGTTTGAATTACATGTGTCCTACAATAGCCGTGACTCTGAGTGATCAATACAGCCTTATGTTCCAGTGCTTCTGCTGTCCTTGTTTTGCATGAGAATGTCTTCTGAGTTCTAATTTGACTTATTCAGGTCACAATGGAATAACTTCCACGCACTGACTATAAGCTCTTCCCTTTCACTTTCTGAAGTAAAAGCTATTGCCACACAAATGTAGACTAGATACTGCTATTTTTAGAGGTATATGAATAATAGACTTGTTTTTCACATCTGGTAGAAAGATCTGCAATAGCCTAGTTGGTTTTTATGAAGCTGTCCAATCCACAGTAGGTAAGGGTTGAAACCATTTATTTCTGGCACACATGCAAATCATTAGACCAGAGCCCGTTTCATCTGAACCAGGTAGGATACAATGGAAGAAAACAACAGTAATGGAGCTAGAGTTTCCAAAGGTTGTTTCCAAGTTTTCCTGTGACATGAACTTAGTGCAGCACCTTTCTCTTGGTTTTGTGGTACTATGCTGCCCTGCACACGCAGAATTGCATCTAAAAGTTACCAATTAAAAATTCCTGCCACCTATGTTGCATACAGGCTTATGCAGGAATCTAGTTCCATGCTCTGGATTAAATTACCCTAACTTTCATCTTTAGTTACCCTAGATGCCTTTCAAGATGTCTTTCAACTCATCATCCAAAAGACAACCTAGTCAAAATGTTCTAGAAGGTATCAGAAATTGCATCTAACCCGTGAGAATATTTTCACAACAATATAAACCAAAAATATATGCACCAAAATACACTTTCAGATGGCAATAACGACATATTTAAGTACTATTCTTTGATTAAATATCTTAAAACCACCAGTCTTGAAGAATACATATGCTAGATGATGCAGTATTTAATGACACACTTTAATGAATATATATATATATATATATTCCCCTTGATGTTTCAAGGTATTTGGAAGGTTATTTGATTCAGATTTCACAGGAAATTGTATTTAGGTTTAATGCTTAAATATTTCAAGATCTGCAGAAATTAAAAATGGACAGAGTAGTAAAAGAAGCAGAAGTCTGCAGAAAAGATATTTAAAAAAAAATCTGAATTTTTGATCTATAGAACTTTAAATTTTGAGCCTAAGTTGTAGTTTTAAACCATCATTTATTAGATGGCTTGGAATACAACCATTACATTTCATATTGCAATTGATAAATGGGCATTGCAATTTGCACATAAGGAAAAAGAATTAAGTTCAGCAAAGGAAAAAGTCTTCCCCCCTATCAAAGAGAAAATGGAAAGGACTGGATCTATCAAATTCCGATTACCATCACTAAAATCATGCCAACTTCCTATCGCAAAATAATTTCAAAATCTACTGTGCAGTACGAAATTACCTTTACTCTCATCTGTTGATTTCATGTGATTTTCACTATCTTCAATGTAACCTGATCCTAAAATATTAAGGCAAAAGTTGAGCTGACAAAATATTTATTACAGTTAATTAAATAAATGAGCAATACAGCTGCAACTTCTGTTTGCATTGTGTTTACTTACATACGAGAAATTCTACTTCTAGATTCACACCTAAGACATTCATATAACACAGGTGAGAATAATGCAGCTTTTCAAATGATCAGCTAAAAATCACACACGAGGTAACTTTCTTTATATCAGGTGCTTTAAACAACATATCTGTCTGTCTGTAAAGTGCATTGAGATCCTGGAACGAAACGTGCTCAGTCATTACAAGTTCACATGGCTGTACCCGGGTCACATCACAGGACTGTGTGCCACAACACAAATTTTCCCTCCGAAATAATTTTCTTGCAGCTGTGTCAAAACTATCAGAAACAGGAAGTAATTTTCTTTTACCAGATTTCTCCATCTGTAATATTGCTAACCGATTGCCTGATAGAAGTGTCTGAGCACACTTATAAACCAATCTTTGTATAAGACTTCCTCATAAAAAACTGTACAAAGACAAAACCATAGAAGATACTTGGAAGAATATCCATTTAAGTCCTAAACTAAAGAAATATTTACTTAATGAGTTGGTTTAATAGTCTTACAGCACAACATCCTACCTGAATAGTAGTCTCCATCACTGTGCGGACCTGTCAGTTTTTCACTTGTCAAGCTTGTGGCTAAGGCAGAACTGAAAAGCAAACAAACAAAAGTTGATGAAATTATCCAAAACCAGTCAATAAAACCAACATGATGAAATGCAAAGATCAGTCATTGTTTATGCTACCATACATTCTGAATTATTGAAGCTAATGAAAATTTTGCCTTGGTCTTTAAGAGAAGCACAAATGAAAGTTAAGGTAAAAAAAGGTTCCCTCTTGCATTACTCTTCTTTAATATTTCTGTATTTTAAATTCCATATTCAAATGCAGGCCTGAAACTTTAATTTCTCTTAGTTGGCTTTTTTTTTTTTTCTATTTTTAAAGTATTTCCTCATCCTGTTGTTGTGTTAGCAGGTGGTACATGAAGCACAACCATCTATTGTCTGCAGGTGTGTGCCATAATAAACTATATTTGTCTGGTGGAAGGCCTGCAGCCCTTTAAACAGAAATACTTCACCCTTACCATAACGCAAGCCATCTTACCCAGACATCTCCATGGACGGTCTTTTAGCTTAACAAAGAAAAATAAAAGCATCTATTAGTAATTGCCCTAATAAAAGAATTTAAAAGTAAAAATCAAAACAATAATATAGTGATTATCTACCCAGCTCATAATAATAATTTCTCCTGCCTATCATAAACCAGTTAAACTGTGTCTTACATCCTGTTTATTACCCATGTCCCTTAAAATGTCTCTTTCACAAAGAACCCAAGATCCCAAGCCCCAGACGTTAACCTGGCCAATTTAAGCAGTCTGGGACATTCAGATACTCTAAATTTTACCAAATATTTTGCAATGTACTGCATATCACAGGATAAACCAGATGTATTTCTTTTCTAAAAGAGTAAGATCTGAAAGAATACCTTAACGATAAAGGACAAATCCTTAAATGAATTACATGGGGAGAAGAAAAACAACCCCACAACCTAATAATCTTTGTTTCATGAGGACTAGAGAAGCCCCTCAATTACACCCGAGCTGGAACCCCAAAACTAAATTGTCATAGCTCTGTAAGGGATCAAAAAGCTCCCCAGGCCCTGTCTGTCTCTACATTGCACAGGACTGAATTCCAGACGTAGGACCGCATCAGAACAGTGCAATCCTGGCCTATCTCCTGTTACATTTGCTTCACTAGTGCCAGTAGTTAGATACTCCCATTCTGCCCAATATACTTGGAAAACAGCACACTTGCAGCTTAAATTGGGCCATCCAGCATTTTTAAGTAGATTTTTAGTTTTTTTAAATTACTCATCTCCTGAAACCTCCCTCCTCGCAGTTCTTCTCTCTCAAAACAAATGCGAGTTTAGATGTAACACATTTGCCACCAGAGAAATGGAAGGGAACTATTCATTACCCTTTTTCTTCTTAAACAAAAACCACCATAAAGCGAAAGCTACTGCTCCTGCAATAGGTATTAGGACAAATGCAGCAATGACTCCTTTCTGCCAAGTCGCCAAGATGACTGGAAATAAGAAAGACACATTTAAGAGAGCATGTACAGTGACAGGTCATCATTACCAACTTTTGCGGTCTCTGACCACTGATTTTACTACAAATTGGCCTTCTTACACACTGGGGAAGTACTTTAAGGAGACTTGCATGCCAAGTGCACTAGCCAGCCTCTCCTTTGCGACAACACAGTACAACTACAGGTTGCTTCTAACTTGCATCTGGCTCCTTTGGCTTTTGAGCATCCCTTAAACTTTTCTGTGTAAGTTAGACAATCTCTATTTATAAATAGATCTCGCTGTTTAGCTTCTAACAATGGTGCAACAAAAATAAATAAGGGAGTTATACTTAGTAACATCCCAGATAACATGACCTCATTTGTCACGATGACATAGTTTGCAGCTTATCACAAAAGTTAGCTCACCACTGATGGTTATTGGACGGCTTTTCACATCCACATTAGCTCGATTGGAAGCCATGCAGTAATACGTCCCCGTGTCCTGCCTCTTCATTGCTTCTTTGCGCCACATGAGTCTGTCTGCATTTTCACTTTTTTCAAATAGAAGAACTTCATGATCAGTTTTTCTAAAAAATCTGAAGTGGATTGGCCAAGATCCTTCTTTCACAGAGCAGAGAAAAGCAGTCTCACTGCCATCTTCCACTTCTCCATACGGAATACTGCCCAAGCTGGCATTCTTGATTGGTACTACAGAGGAAGGTAAAAGAAAACAAATATTAGCACCACTAGAAATAACTTTGTTGATAAAATATTGTATTTAGAAATACTTGCTTTAATGCTTAGTTAAACAAAGACTGAATGCACAGCATTAATCTTTTGGAACAGCCTCTGCCAGATATCATCTCTAGTAAATATTTTATACACCCAGAAAGAGAGAGGGCACTATAAAGAAACAAAGCAGACACAGAAGGAAACTATATCCATTCCACAGAAGTCAGCCAGCCTCTTTCCTTAAACTCCTTGGATGCTCTTCAGGCCCCAACCTACAAATTAATACACACCGTAGTTTGACAGTGCAAATAATGATAACTCAATTTACGTAGCTATGCTTTCACCACCCATTCCCTTACTTACAGTCCCAAAGGCCTCTATTTTTTTTCCAATAGCTGTATGCAGTTGCTATCTGGTCAAATGACAACGACATAGGTGCCAACAATATGCACAGGATGCATAGCTTAGCTTTACTAAAAGGTCAACACCAACAATTAGTTGGTTCCTTCTGTAGATTAAGAATATTTTCAGGAATATTAAGAATATTGTCAGGAGCAGCAGCCACAATCGATGCTTTATTTCCAGTTAGGTAGGAGACTGTTATATTTCTGCTTACCTCATTTGCTATTACAGATGACAGTAAGTCATATCTTTACAGAAAGATAGTATTTGTCAGCATGAAGCCTGCAACTGTTAGGGAACGTCATCTAGTGCAGAAGGCTTCAGTATGTCTCCTCAAACAGCTACTCTGTTGTCCACAATTATTTATCTTAGATTTTGAAACTAAATTCAAGGTACAATCCGTATCTTGGGTACAGGTTATCCAAGAAACTTCCTTAAGGCTTAGAGCAAAACCTGCTGTTAACAAGTAAGTTCTTGTACAGGGAAGTGCTTGTGATGGGACTGGAACGTATCTAAATCAGCGACAGAATTTTCTGAGCCAAAGCTTTCAAGCACTAGGATCTAAACCAGGAACTGCCACATGAAACCTCACTACCATCTGCTCTGAGCACACCAAACAAATCTACAGAAACATGGTATCTCACCTTAACAATCCTACCAAGGCAAGATGCTCCCTTGCACGCCTAATGAGAGGAAATATCACACACACAGTTTTTAAAGATTTAACCATCCTGATACTGGTCTTACGTGGCCTACTACAGAATTACTATTCGCTTCAGTTTCTTTTCGTATCTGCCAATGGCACACTTGCAAATCACAGTTTTTCACTTGCATTCCCCTTCTTGAAGTACTGCTAAGATTCCCAGCCTATATCAGACATCATGCTTTCTTCTTCCAATTTATCTTCTTTTTAAACTTCAGCTACCAACTTCCCTCATGGGCAGAGGAATTTTCCCTTCTACTTCACACATATTTGTAGATCAGATACTTTTCTCGTATACAGTAACTCTTAGCTGCTAATAAGCATAACAGAACTTTCAGAGTGACATAGCAACTGCAGCTTCTGGTGTTGAACATATACTCAGTGCCTTTGAAAACTGCAACTAGTAACAGAGGTATTTAGAGGGATTACTGAAAGTGCAGATTTGGATCTTACCAGGAATCTAGCTAGCGCTATTTTAGTGAGTAAAATTACAGACTAACTCCAATACAGAATCATAGAATGCTTCAGAACTTCTATGCATAGAATTTATTTATATTCTGTGCATAGAATCATAAAATCATATCATTGTGTACACATTTAATCCTATGAAAATGAAACCTGAGGAAAATGGATCTGGTCCTGAAAGTCTTTATCGTTAGTTTTACTAAAATAGCTTCTGTAAGATTTCAAGTCATATCCGGTTTTAACATTGAAATAATATCATTCCAGTTAACTTGATTCAGGTTATTATCAGGATTTTTACTGTAATGACAAATAGCCTCTGATACAGATCTCCAATTAGTTTTAATTTAAGTGACTACAATTTGTAAACATTTCATATATATTTTGCCTAGTCCATCATTTGCTGCTACAGTTTTAAAAAATCAAAATATGACATTAGACAAGAAGAATAAAACAGGCTTACCTATTACTGTGATGTTTAGAATATTGCTAGTTTTCATACCACTGGTGTGATTATTTCTAGCTCCACATTTGTATTCTTTTTTGTCATTTTGCGTAATATTTTTATCCAGGAATGTAGCATATGTGTCATTAGTTACTATTTTCTGAACTTTATTTCCTTTGTAGAACGTGAATGTTATTGGCGGTGTTCCCATCACTGCACGACAGATTAACTGTAGAGGCTTCCCTAACACCACCTCCGGTAAACCGCTGACAACGGAAAGAATTGGCTTAGAGACTGGAGCTAAAGGAGGAATAAAACAAAAAAAAATTTGCAAATTACATTGCGTAAGGCTGAACAAGATAATACTATTTTATAGAAAACATAAGCATACTATATTTAGCTAGTTTGCACACATAGCCTATATTGGGAAGCTCTTCCTCTTTGACAAAATTGAAGCAGAACAAAACAGAAACATAGATAACAGAACATATATGACTTAGAACAAAACAGCATATAAGGAGAATGTAAAGGAAAACAAACAAACAAAAAGGATTAGTGGCACAGCTATGGATCATCCAAACTCTAGACCTAGCTCTGACCCAAGGAGAAAGTCTGTAGAGCAAAAATATATGCAAGTGCCATTGCCCATATTACCTGCGCTGGATCCTGCAGCACCTAATCAGGGACCTCTGTTTCTGCAGCACAGGGAGACACAGCCCAGTTAAACCCCCTTTCGAGACCTGAGAACCGACTGTACTTGTTCCATGAGAGGGAAGGAAACTAGGCTGCTTATCATTAGCATGCTGGTGAGGGGGTTGTATTGATAGCAAAAAACTTGGCTTTCTGGAGTAGAGCTATCCAGATGACCTCTGGCTCTCACGGCTTTCTGCCTGGAAGGCCAGGGGGAGGGATTCAAGGCAGTGACAGAGTTTCAGATCAAACTGGTGAGTGAAAGGTTTGCACAACGTTCCCAGCTCCTGCAAATGGCAACGAATGACAGTTTATTTGGCACCTAGCCGACGCAAGGGAACAGAAGGAAGACATGCCAACTCCCTTCTCCTAGGGCTGGCCCTGGAAAAGCCTGACCTGATTAGACCACGATAGGCCAAATCCTCTACAGCTAAAGCTGACAAGCACCTCTCACAGAAATCGATATTGCAAGAATAGACACTCTGCTAGTTCATGGACTAGAGATTGATTCTGTAAACAGATATGCTCATTTATAAGCTTATGGGTTTGATTTTTTCCCTGCTCACCATGGGGTTCTAAGCCTCTGTTATCAACTCACCGTAAACATTTATCACTACAGGTTTGCTCTCCTTCACTATTCCTTTTACTTCAGCTTTACAGGTATAGGATCCTGTATCATTCACATTAACTCTCATAGTTACGTTTCTAGACTTTTTCAACCAGATGTCTCTGTTTGACTTTTTCCGTAATATAGTGAAGTTAGCTCCCTGAAAACCATTAATGCTGCAACTCAAAGTTAATTCTTTATTTTCATCCAGCTCACTCATAGACGCAGCCAATATTGGTTTGGGGAATAACTCTGCAAGAAAAACAGAGAATTAATTCATTTAAAATGAGTGTAAAAGAATATGACTACTATCTCAAAGTAAACAGAATGAAGGAAATACTGAAAGTTTACAATCAGGGAAAAACACAATCATGTTATTTTAATACAATAAAATTTTTAGAGGAAAACAAACTCAGCAATCACTTGAAACCACTTCTCATATGTGTTATTTGAAATTATTATTTTATTTGGAAGGTGTTGGCAGGCAAAAATAAGAAACAAAAATCTAAATCTAAATAGCCTTTAACTAAGGGAAAAATTACACTTGGATCTGGAGGTTACACTTGGATCCTGAGCTCTACCAAATTTAAATTTAAATATTAATACAATTAGTGAAATCTAAGGTGAACAGAGACACTACCTGATACAACAACACGCAGTTTGGTGGTTTTAGATGCTCTCCCTTGCTCCACCTTACACAGGTATTCACCACTGTCCTCTAGAGTAGCCACTGCATAGTATTTCAAATGTTTCTTGTCTCGTACACTCTTCAGTATTGTTTTGTTTTTCTGGAGTATGATTTCTATGCCACGCATTTCGGCTACCATAGTGGAGCATTCAAACTGCATTCTGTCTCCTTCTGTAAAATTATTTGAGGGCCCAGCCTTCAGGGTAGGCTTTACAAATGGTTCTGCAAAAGAATAAATAAAACCTTACGACCCAACTTTTTAATTTTAGCAAGCAAAGAAATGTAAAAAGAAAAGCAGACTTACCCTTAACTGTAACAAGTGTTGTGTTGCTGTGTTCTGAGCTTTCAAATTCAAGTTTTACACTTCTCCTACCAAAGCAATCAAATTGTAAAATATTATCTCCCTCTTCAACAGAAAATTCCGCTACAGAAAAATTTTGGTATGCTTCAAATACAGGTTTTTCTTTAGGTGTTGAATTGATCTTTATCTTTCGGAAAAAGAAATATAAAGGAGGTTCTTCTTCTGGCAGCTCACAACGTAATTTCACAACTTCACCCTCTAAAACTTCTTTTTTCTCAGCAGTCAGGATTGGCTTGTTCATTCCTTATAACAGAAAATAAGATAGGAAATAGAACATTGCAAAATCCTGAAATAAACGCTATCTCTCATGACTATGGTATTGATGTATGCTAATGAACAAATGCAAATGATTTGCAAGAATTGAGCTTTTGAAGACAGTTCCTTTGATCTCTGGGCGCATGCCAAGGCACATTCAGACGAATAAAATGTCCCTCAAGAGTGTAGTACAATCCTGATGCAATGTGTGAAGTATGAAACCTGCTGTTTTGAAGGTAAGATTGCTTCCTCCTCAGTGTTTCCTACTGACACTCAGAAATGAGCAAGCAAAGAAACTAAATGCCATCCCAACTTCTGTACCTAGAGGTGCAGTCCTCTGATGAAACACTACAGGCCCTGCACACCCTGCAAATATTTAATGTTGAATTCTAAGTTGCTTTTTCAAGGGGGAAAAATGTCACTTGCAATCAAGAACACATGCCTAGAGAGAGTATAGATGGGGGTGGCCCCTGTTCTCATAAGAGATAAAAGAATAAGACTGATAGAACATTGTCTACAAAAGGAATCCAGTTGACATTAGCTTTGCTAATGATTGCCAGAAGGTCAGAACACATTATTTCCAGCTTTTCCAGTAACCTACCCACCCCACCATGTTTATGATCTATAGGCACAAATTTTCACAAATAAAACTTTCTCTAGCCTAGGGAACAGAGGTTCAGGACAGGGGAGATGGTGGCGCAGGAGGCACAGACTACATTCCTGACTGTCACTGATCTACCACGTATTCTTGGCATTGTGATTTCATTCCTGTGCCTTAGCATGAGGATTTAGTATTAAACTCTCGTGAAGTCCTGTGATGCCTACAGATAAAAAACACTTTGCAGGCTATACTATTTAGCACCTTCCCCTGGAAGGTCCTTCTCATTTTTGTATCTTAGAAAACTGCCATGTTTGAAGGAACACTCACCTGTTATCCAAACATGTAAGGAGTTGCTAGATTTTGTCTTTCCGCCTGCTTCCACAGTACATTCATACTCTCCTGTATCTGAAGATCTAGTCACAGGTATTTCATATCGTGCATCTTCACTGTCTGATACAGTCCTGAACACAAGCTTGCCATTCTTAAAAAATGTAAAATTATGCTTTAGCTGGAAATTGCTGCTTTTGCTAATATCAGCATGGCAGATAACTGAGATAGGAGTTCCCTTCCTTACTTTGACAGACGGCTGAACCTTGATTTCAACTGTGTTGAAGGTAAAAACTTCATGGGGGAAAAAAAAAAAGACGTTATATTTATTTTCAATAAGTCCAATGTAATACTGTTATCTCAAGCTGCTACATTTTAATCACAAAAATTAACTCATTGTACCCTAACAGTGTTACAATTTTTGTGGTCAGGTCTCACAAATGCTGAAAATGGCAGCAGCTTTACCTGCACAGATAAAGCAGAGGCCACTGCTGATTGTTACAGCACACACTGTCCTTCTGCTCAGTCTTTGCCTTGGGGGACTAAGAGAATCATTGATTTGACCATACTCATGGCCAAAGCTTCTAAATTCCCTAGAAGTCACAGAGGACACTGGAATAGGTTTGCATCTCCTTCTTGGGTTTCCTTATTTTTCATGGTTTGTTGTCTTCAGCTCTAATTGGCGGGAGAACTGGGAGGTGAATATAATTTTGTATTTATAGTTGTCTGATTAAACTGAAAAATTATAGTAAAATTTAACGTTTTGCTTAGAGTTGTATAAAAACCCAAGCCAATTCATCCCCAATTAACAGAAATCCCTGGAGTTACCTCAGTATTTTTTATCCGAAAGCAAGTTTAGGGTTATGTCATTCAGCAAATTCCACTTTAAACATGTAACTCACAAGCTTGGGATAATCTTAAATCTCTAGTTTACGATAACTGGAGCGTAACAAGAAATTTGGGTTCAAGTTCTGCACGCAAACATGTACATGCCTAACTTTAAGTTGTTGGCATTCTAGCAAGCATACTCTCAAGAGTCGTTCACACTCATAGTCTGATTAATTCAAATACACAATCATATGCAGAAACAGTGCTTCCAATTAATTTAGACATGTTAGTCCCTGAAAAAAGTATACTGAATACAATACTCCTATTTTTAAATAATTAACAAGCACTTTGCAAAATAAAGTTTGTAATAGCATTAATCTATACAGAGAGAGCTGTGATTATAGTCACAATGACAATTAATTTGCAGCTTAATTTTTTAAATATTTTTTTTATGCTAGTACAATTAATGTTTTTATTCACACCGCTAGATGAAGAAGTATAGAGAAAGATTTATGAGTTCATTCCCTCTTCCTTCCTTTAGAACTTGCAGCTTTTGGGCATGGCCATTTTGTCCAGGATTTCTGTTAGAAATTTGCTACAGGAATAGGAAATTTTTCCTTTACCTAAAGAAGTCCCTTTTTCCCAGCTACTTATAAATTGTCCTTATTAAAGAGAGTTTGGGGCATATAACCACTGCAAAAATTGTGAATGTTTTTCATGTGAAGAGACTACATGAAAACAAGAAGCAAACATTTCTCCCTGGTGACAGAAAAAAGGAAGCACGCAGAGTGTACATGCTGGAAGTCAGCAAGATGCTAACGTAAAAAGTAAATGTATTCCTTTCAGCACCCAAGTTCTGTACTCCGCTCAGACATGATCTTCCCTTGTGCAAGAGAAAGAGAGAGTGCCATTAACTTCTATTCTGCAATTTTATCCTACCTCCTTGCTTATGGGCATGAAAGAGTTTTTTAAAGACAAAAATAAAATGCTAGTAATTAAATTTCCTCTCCCGTCTCTTCTCTCGTATGCCTCAGTAAAGTAAATTGCTCTAGGAAAGATTTCACCAAAACATTTATTAGTGCATGAGCAGCACATCTCTCATTTAAACACTATGCCAAGAAACGGCATGAAATAATGACTTTTTATTTTTTTATATGGTCAAATTTCATACTGAGCTATAGTACAGTAAATCCAGATAAACTATATTATAGATACACAATGGCTGAAGAATTAGTTAAAGCACTTATTTTAAATTCGTATGTGAAAAAAACCCACAACTATCATTACCTACCTCTCTCCTGAGTGTAAATTTCTGAACCTGGAAAAAAAATAAAAAAAAATGTTATTTTCAAAGCTTACAGATTGAGAGACAGTAATGGAAAACAGTAAAAAGCCCCAACAGACCAGAAACATATGCAGTCACCCAGATATTTAGTTATCAAACTTACACTGCAAGAAAATCACCAGAACAGCAAGATACATCTCGTTCCTGAAGAATAGACACTTAATTCCAAAATAAAACAATATTCATCATCAGAAGTGATGCCTCTCGGTACCAAAATCAGGTTATGCTTTTCGGGGTTTTTTTCTGTGTTGTTTTGTGGAAATAGAAGAAATGTTGTCATTAAAATGTGCGTTTTCCCAGCTCTGCAACAGAAACTGGCTAGATCAAGTAATCGTTCCCATTACTGGAAAATGGAAATGGCAAACAATGAGAATCTATCGGCTGCTCACAGGCAGATTACTGTTCAGGAAGTGACTGGACTTTTCCTGAGGGCACCACCAAATGCATTTGCTTTGTTTAATTTCTTAAGGTGTATTAAAAAAACAAGAAGTTCCAATGACATTTATCCTGACGTTCCTGTATATACGTGTCTTTTTAAGTCACAATTAACCATTTATGAACACAAATTACCTTCACTATTTGACCTCAGCAGATCCTTGAGAAAATATTTCCTTTCATCCTGACATGGAGAACACTTTCAGAGAATATATGTACATAATTACTCATTTTTCTCCTTTACCTTCATTTCTAGGTCTCTCATCTTTGCTGTGGCAAAGAATAGTTTTACTGTAGGGTGCACAATAAATTCAAATTATCCCAGAAACCATACCTACTATCGTGTTAGACTGGAATATTGGCAGGCAGACCTCTCATACTACCATCAAGTATCAAAATCATGGACCTGCACAAGATTTTATTCTATGTAGTTAGGAGAGTGCAGAACATACACAATCAAAAAACTTAAACCTCGCGTGAAAACAACTGTTTGGGATTTAAATTCTCAGCAGAAATCTGAAGCAGCACTGGCACAACAAGGCGGCTGATTCAAGTAACCAATTACATTTTTCCAGAAAAATTTTACTCCGTAACTTTCAGGAATTCAATGCTCAGTAACTTTCAGTTGTTCAAGATACTCCCTTCTGGGTTTATCAGTCCACTTTTAAGTCAGACTTAAGTCATTCCACTTGAGCCCTAACGCTGACTCGGTCTATAGGCTTGATAAAGGGAGCTGAAATCACGCCTTTCAAAAAGCGTTTCTCAGATTGTGTCCCAGAACTCCTCAAACAGTGATTTAGCTATTCTTGGAAATTGAGTGCTCAACTTCTAATCCCTTTGTTTCTTTCCTTTATAGACAGAATCAATGCTTTCTTTTACTTCCAGCGACATTTTCCAGCCTTGTTTAAACACTACTAAATACATTCACAGAAGCCTATAAATGAGACATATACTTCTCATGAGCTTCACTTTTTATATGAAACTTTTTTTTCTCCTGAGGTAAACGAAAATTGCATTTTTTCCCAAAACCCGATAGTTTAAAGCTGTAAGTATGCTCTAATACTTGTATTACACACACAGTTATTTTGCAAAAGGAAACAGGAGGGAAACACTCATCTGTTTAACAAGGTATTGGCAATATGAACACGCATCTGTCTAGCTGTTTTGCACGGAGGGACTACAAAATGGCACAACAGGCACAGCAATTAAAGACTAAGAAGTAAGCTGGTTAACTAGCAATAGTATTTGTCCTGCTTAACCCAGTCTGTTTGAAATAACAAGACTGATGGTTTGGCTGGTTGCCAACAACGGTCTCCAGAGCCAGGTAAAGGAAAAGAGGAGGAGGACACGTGGCAAGGGGAGAACAAAAGTAGATCAACTTCTGCTATTGATAACAAAAAATAGGAAGGAAGGAGATTTTCCCCTTCCCCTTTGCCCCATAAAAGAATTCAGCAGGACATACAAAGCTCAGCAAAACCACAACAGGCTTTCCCACGATGGAGACAAAGGCTCTCCTCTCAGCTACTGCGAGGGAAGGAGAAAACGTGGTCAAGCGGTCCAATATGGCCAAGTTCAGAACCAGCCTAGTTTCAGACTGAGATGGAAAGGCCAGCTTTTAACATGAATTAGGTCAGGAATTAGGTTTAATGTTGTCAAAAATTTGAGGCTGTTGCGAGATATTCTGGAAGACCTCACGGGCCATTAAGACCCTCATATTCTTGATAAGCCCTCGACACTGCACCCGAGAGGAAAATCTAGCTGGTACTAACAAAAAATTCCAGAAGTAAATTCAAACACAGAAACTTAAGACAAAGTATCAGGAAATTTGAGAAGAAAAGCATTTCAAATGCAAAAGAATTGTTTGAGACCATCTTCCACTGTTAAACTGGAAATCAGATTGACTTAAAAGAATTTAAACTTAAAATACCTGTGCAAGTAATACAGCTGCATATTTTCCTAACAGTCATCTTACTGTAATCTCTCAAGATATGTTTTTCTGAAATATCCAAGATCATACAAAGCTATTCTAATATACACCCTATAAAGAATTCTATTCAGACGCTACTATATTTGTGGGAAAAGTAGGATTGACCTCAAAAATGCAACACACCTTCTGAAGCAGGCAGAATGTCATTATAATCTTGTGTAATACCCTTTATAATCTATTGGAATCATTACATTTAATTTACTACCTACGAAACAGACCCTTAATCATTAAAACTCTGCTCACCCGAGAATTCACAAATCCCATTTCTGCTGGCTGGGTTCCCCGCTACTTGCTTACACGTGATATTTCCTAAAAACCATCAACTTTGTCATCTGAACAGAGCTTTGCCTAAAACTCAGAGGCAAAGCCTATTTTCCTAGCTAAGAGCAAAATGCTAAACAGGATTTTCAAATTTTTCCCTCTGCAAATACAATGTTTTCAGCCAGACCCTTATGACAGGAAACGAAGCTTTGAGTTCACACTACGCTCCAGCTGTTTATCTTCATTCCCTCTGCAGCTGCCTGCCGTGACGGTACAGAGCACACGGCAGTACCCATCCTTAGCACTGACATCTTACCTCCTCGCAGAGCACACACTGATTACAGCGAATCTTCTGTCTCCTGGTCTCAAATGCCCAGTTCCTGATGGGACTTTCACTTTCTTTAGAAAATATGAAGCATCTACACGAATTGCTTTCAGGTTTTATCTCACTGGTTTACTGCAAAACATTTCTCTTAACACATCATTTCTGGGTCATCAAGTCTTGTCCCCGATTCTGTCCCACATAATTTCTTGTGTAAGTTCACTGATCTGAAAAGCAGTTAATTGCTATAGAGTTATATCTACAAAGGTCTGTGATTTTCTAAATTTTATTTAAACATTCATAAAAATTCAGAGATATGTGTCCATCTATACCAATGTCAACATAAGCTTTCAGTAACTAAATCAGGAATAGAAAAGCAGCTCTGATTTTTAATCCCCCATTCCCTAATGCATATAAACATGTAATCATTTTGATTCCTTACAACTGTGACCTGTTTTGCTTAATTATCACTTCCTGTTTCACTATACTCATAGATAATAGAATTAAAACAAGCGTTGCTTGTCTAGACAAAATCCATGGAGAACTGGGACTGAGCTGAGTTTGTTCTACAAACATTTTGGGGGTATATTGTCTTCTCTTGAATGTTAGATATACATCATTTGTCTTTACTTGAAAAATGTCTCTTTATACCTCCCTGGAGAGGAGTAAAAAAAATAATTTTATCCCTGGATTTGAATATTTACAAAGAACATTAAAAAAATGAACACTTTTTTCCAGAAATCTATAATTTATGGAAATTTTTGATTGCCAAAAAGTTTGTGCTTCTCAGAATAAATTGCATTTCCCAATGGCACCATCTGCTGGGAGATGACCAATACAGTGAAGCACACTGTGGTTCCCTCACTTCTCTCTTTCACAATTAAACCAACACCTCCTCCAAACAGCAGCATAAATCAGATCCAAAAAACAAACGGAAGGAAGCAGGAAGCTGATAATGAGAAATACTACTGAGGTTTTCACACTGAAATTTTCCCTTTGAATATAACAAGAGTTAATTATTACTGTTTAGCTCTACACTTTCTTCCCAACACAGCAAAACATTGAAAAGACTAGGAATATGAAGTCTTGAATTGTATTTCATATATCACACATCTCCACGTACCTTAGAAATTTATTCAGAGGTGTGAAATCTATTTGTTGCTTTATGTTATGACTGTGGTCTCTAATACCACCACTCAAACTTCCTGTGTTCCAGTAGTGTACATAAGTGATAGATTCTACATCCTGAGGATGTTTTAAATTGCTGTCTTCTACTGGGTTAACAAGTTATTCACTTTAAACACAGACATTACAAACTGTCACTATCACACAGTGCTTATCTGGCAACATTCCAGAATTGGCACTTGTTTTGCTAAACATCCAGCACTTCTGGATGCAGCAGAAAAACAGCCTTGAGCTCTGCAATAATATTCATCACAGACTATGGACAGTGCCAGAATAAAGGTCAGAATCTTTTGGCTGGAGAGGGAATGAATTCTTCTCACAATGAAATACCAAGTAGTTAAAACAAAGAGCAGACTTGCCACCATGGCCATTTTGAGTAGGAGTGTAAAAACACGGTCTTTGGTGATGATCCAGCTCTATCAGTAAAACCTTTTTGCAGACAAAACAGAAGTGCTTAATTTAATTCATCACCAGACGTAACTGTCAGTATATCATCTACTGTAGCAGACACTCTTCCAGAACAGAGAACCTCCCTGTATGAGACACTGGGACTGGAAATAACTTCTATAATTCTGCTGAAACATGCAAATTTCTCTCAAAGCCTTCACACCCTTACTAAAGAATGCTATCTCACACTATTTTCATTCTCAAGTCAAGGAATTGATCTTGTGAATGAAAGCTCAGTTTGGCTTTTATTCTCCTCCACCTGCTTGCCTGAGGCAGAATACTGTCACAGCAGCAAGTGATAACATCTTGCTTTCAGACTTTTTAACTTACTTGTTCTGACTGGATGACTTCTGTTCATTACTCTTCATTACATTTATTCAGTTCTTCTTACATATACAACACATTAATGCCAGGCAGGAAATTTGTAAATCTAATAAAGCGGGAATTCCAAGCATGCACAGTATATATGCTGAACAAATCAACGTTATATATTAGTCCAAAGTCAATAGCCAAGTCTGCCGAACAATCAATCAAAATGAAAGTAAGCTTCATTTATTATTATCCAGGAGTTAAAGTTAGTATTCAAAACCTCACAGAAAGGGCTAATGTTACCTGGAAGCCATACGGACAATATGAATGCTGTTCTCCTTGCTGAAGGGCAAAATAGAACAGTAATATTTTGTCTCAGAGTAATACTGCAGGATTTAATGAAGCTCCTCTTACTTTTGGGACACTTTCAGCACACGTGGAAAAGAATACTGCCTTAAAGCCTTTTACAAAGTTTTAATCACCTTCAGATCTGTTGAGTACTCATCACAAGTATATTCACATAAACCAGCAGAAATTAAAAGCATTACTCCAAGAGCAGTGCTTGAAAATAATAACAATAATGCATCACTGGCACACATAACTCCCACGAGTACACACAGCCTGCTGGATTACGCTTTCAACAGAATTGTAGTACATCCAGCCCTACAGGACTGAGTAGCCAGCTAAATTTTTCTGGAAGCTTCTTTGTATCAACCTAATAATTTACATTATGAACTTCCCCTAAAGTCTCATTTTCTAGGCAGTACATGTTACTACTCCAGTGGTGATCTAGCCATTGCAGCCTGGGTTTTAAAAAAACTTCATCAGTAAGCCTCAGCTACCAAATCCTATCATAATGGTTCAAAAATGTCTTTATGTAGAAATTATGTCCATCAGTGCTCTGCAAAACAATCACAAAAGTTGAAACGTAAACAGATATTTGAGCAAACGTAATAGCTAGGTCCAAGTTTTGGACAGTTAAATGAAATGCAATTCTTCACCCTAATCCTACATGTGTGTAATTGAGATGGATGGTGTCAAAAAAAACCCACATTCCCTCTTATTTCAGCCCCTAAATCCACATTTCAAGGAAAGCAAACTGAACCTAACAAGAACTAAACCAAACACTGAGGACACAGATGCACTGAACTATGGGACCTCCACCCAAGGAAACAGAGAGAGCAGGGCTGCTTGGCAGAGCCCAAACCAGGCGAGAAAGGCACAAACAGTTCTGGAAGGGCTTCCTCACTTCCCCAGCAAAACCCAGAGCCAGCACTTGCCTTCCCCGGGTACCCAGCCCTGAGGAACCAAACAAGCTGCCATCCATGGGAGATCCTGGTGACAATTTTTTTTTTTTTTTTTTTAGCTACAGACAAATTCACCACTTGCAATAACCATTTGCCGTTACCCACAAGCAAAACGCCTCGGCTTCTCCGAAAAAGGAAAGCGTTCGGTCCGGGTGAGCAACACCCGCCACTGCCCCAGTGGCCCCACAGGGCAGGAGGAAGAGTCTCGTGCCCCCTCCTCAGCCCGCCCTCGGCTCCGCGCGCAGCCCCTCCCGTCTCCGCCTCGTCAGGGAGGGGAGGGCGGGAACACGAAGCTCCCTCAGAGCGGCCCGGGCCCCTCACCTGGCGGGCAGCGTCATAAGGGCTTTTTATTTATTTTTGTGTGTGAGGTTTTCTGTCAAAGAACGGGCTGCCACAACACAAACGCTCCCAGTTCTTCTCCTGACGGTTGTGTTTCCACACATGCTTCCTCCCAGCTGCAAAAAAAAAAAAAAAAAAGTTTCAGTCTTGTGGTTCGCTGTCAGCATTTCCGCTTAAGAAACGTTTGTGAGGGGAGGGTGGAGGTTGCGTTAAGAGATAATTAAAAAAAAAAAAAACAAACCCCACAGCAACAACAAACAAGCCCCACAGTAACAACAAACAAGCCAGGAGGAAGGAAGCTGCGCACAAAATTCCGAGCAAACTTTGAAGTGCTGTAGCAGACCAGGCTTTTGTGAGGGATTTTGTATTACACAAGAGAAGAAGACAGGCTCTGTAGGGCCTTGTCTTGTTATCTTCATGAAGTGGAGACAAAGAAACAAGGATTGTGCACAAAAATAAAATCTCTTTCAAAGCATTCAATATTCAAGTAGTCACTTCTCGTGCAACAGGGCCTAGAGTTCTTCAGTGCCCATGTACAGCTAAAGATTACATTTACTCAGAGGATGACAAATAAAGAACATCTACTTGCTGTAACTGTAATTATGTAGCTTTGGATTATTAGTTAGATAATAAAATTAGTCATCAATTTTGTATCTGCAGTGGTGTTGAATTCAAGTTCCCGATGAGATTTGTACCTTCTAGTACAGCTTAATATTTGAAGTTTGACCAAAAGATTTGGCTAGCGATTTACTAGTATCTTAAAACTTTTACAGATTTTAGTCTTTTTTTTGACATTTTAAAAAAAATTATATTAGTGCTTACAAAGACAGTACTGCATAGTCAGTGCCAGCCATGTGATCTCCTGCATTATCTCCAGCAAATGTGTGACTTTGATAGGAGTCCATGATCTCTTTCTCTTATAGAACAGTGCTCTTTCTTACATGGAAAAGCTGCGGATTACTTCAGCTACATCTTAGCACTGTATGTAACATTTAGTTGTACCCCAAACTGCTGATCCTCACTACACAGCTTTTTCTTCTGCCCACTGCTCTGTCTGCCATAGGCTAAATGTAAGTGGGATATAATAGAAGTCATTACACAACATCTGTAAAGATCAGCCCTCTCCGTATTTAGGACTTCCTCAAACTCTACAGCTATTCCTCAAATATCTCATTAGTGTAACTCCACCCGCTGTCTTTCTCAGTGTCAAGAAGATGTGTTTTCTCACAATTCTGCTGTTTTCCTACCGTAAGCCAAGGACAAACTTCTTATATATTACAAACCTTTCTAAACAAGAATCGCTGTTTCTTGTCTGAAAGCTTTCTTTTCTTCTCTTAGTTCAAATGTCTCAGCAGACTCAGAAAGCTACTGCAAATGGCAAAGGTAGGTTCTCCTTTTTTGCTTTTGTGCTATGTGCTGAACTTGACTGCTAACAGAAAAGTGGGGGAGGGATTTAAAAACGTCCAAAACCTTCACCTGAATCTTTTGCCTTGTTTGTGCAGTGACCTAGTTTACAAGTTTCTATACAAAGTTAACTGTCTCTTTGCTGACTTGTATGTACAGTCAAAATTGCTTTAATTTGTTACAACATATTTTTCCTCTCTGTGTCATAATTTAACTTAGTCAAGACATATTTATTACCATTTTCTACAAAGGGACTTTTTCAGTTTTTATTACAAATTTATATACATAATATCCTAAAAGCAAATTAATTTGATGTGTGGTCAAAGCTCCTGCTGCTACTGTTCAAAAGTTTAATCTATGTACAGGAAGCTAATTCTGCCTGTTCACATAGAGCCACTAATACTGCTTTTCCTTTCAGGCTGACATGCTTCCTCTTAACTAGCATATAAGGTTAATTTCTCCTAAAATTAGCATCCCGTAATATAAATATTTTTCTTCTGTATTTCCATTATTTTCATGGCTGCTGTAGTTCAAAAGTATTTTTGCTGGTTCATTTGGATACATCTATTGGCTTTCTGTATGTGCTCTCTTTGGCATGAAGACATGCACCAAGGTTTGAAGCTGCATACTGATTTCTATAAATGCACAATTGTGTTGAATGCTACCAGAAGTGGGAAAAAAATACCACCTCATATTTCAAGAGAAATAAGTAGAGCCTGGTCCTCAATGTATTTTGTGAAAAATCTGAGTGTTTCTTGAACAGGTGAAATCACTCATAAATTTCTTCTTTCCAGAGATGCTGTCCAACCCCAGGCTCATACCTGTTCAGGGGACTTTGAATGTCGTGATGAACCAGAACGTGACCCTCTCCTGCCACTCAGACTCTGGATCTCCACCCGTCAGATACACGTTGTTTAAATACAGTCAGAAGGTATCTGCTTCACGTAGGCCAGACTTGACTCCCAGTTTGTTTAACTTGACTATCAACTCTGCCAGCGACTTGGGTGAATACAAATGCAAAGCTGAGAATAACATCTCCAGAGGTGAAAAATACAGCAAGAGTCTCAACTTCACCCTTATAGGTATGTCTTGCTGTATACCTTCACAGCACATTTCATTTTAGGGGCACCTAGCCACATGAGATGGAACGTATCTGGAGCAGCAGGAGTCAGTGGGACAGTTTTGGACTGCAAGCATGCACCTGCTTCAATTGCAGAGCAGAACTTTACTGCAAACGGCTGTTGTTTCCGCAGGAGTTGGCAGCGCTATTCCAATCTGACTCACCAAGGCCTCCATCCTTGATGCTCACATCATTTGCTAATGTTGCTGCTTAATTCCAAGGCTTGCTTTGGAGCTTGTCCTGTACTCAGTGATGCAGTCTCTTCAGTTTTCTTTTCACAGAGCCAATTTCCAAACCAGTGCTGAGCTCACCCACCTCTCAAGCAAAGAAAGGCCAGAATGTGACCCTGTCTTGTCTCTCGGAGAATGGCTCTCTTCCTATCACATATGTATTCTTCAAAGGAAAAGAAAGCATCTCTCCTCCAGTGAAGATGCAGAAGAAGGAAGCAGCTGTGATTTTTCTGTTCATCAATTCCTCTAGTGACTTTGGCACCTATAAATGCAGAGCTAAAAGCAGCTTTTGCAATAGTACAAAATACAGTAACGGTTTCAACTTTACATTAGCAGGTATGCATGCGTGAAACATTTTACTACAGCCCATAAACACGGGGCCACACAAAACTCAGAATGTTGTAGCAACCCAAGTTTTTTAGCCAGAAATTTTGTTCCTGCAATGTAATGTTCAAAATATATTTTCTTTCCCAAAAAAAGAAATTTAAGTTTTTAAAATTAATGCAAAAAGATAGAATTCCATGCAGCCTAGATAGAAGTTGAAGTGACCATGAAGGATGACTGTAAAAGATGAATTTTTACAAGAGACCTCTGGTCCGCTTTGCTCCACCTTGGGGAGAGTCGTTTCGTTTTTCTCTCTGGTTCTATGGAAGAGAGTGTCCTCGCACCAGCAAGCTCTGTTCCTTCTGCCGTGGCAGTGTACACTTGGGACTGTCCATTAACCAGTTAATCCAAAAGCTGAAAGAAATGCAAAGTCTTGATTTTAATTTACAGAAATACTTCGTATACGAAATAACCTTTTTTCAATGCATAACCACTTTTTTGTTATCTTTTTTGACAGAAGAGAGGAGTCATTCTCGACCCCTAATAATTTCTCTTGGGCTGATCCTACTACTATTCATAATAGGATCTGCTCTGGTGATTCCATTTGTCATAATTCCTTCATATAAATCAAGTGAGTTATCTGAATGTCTGTTTAATTTTCCAGAGTTGCTCATTTATGTTGTCAATACATTTTAGTGCATGAGCGTCAAGTTACAAGTAGAGTTATGCTCTTGATAATTTAGGATGTTGTCAAGTCTCCTCTTAACCAGCATAGCCAACTTCACAAGATATTTGCAAGGCAAAAACCTCTGAGCTATGTTTTAGTTGGCAGGCCTGGGATGGGGGAAGGAAAGTAACATCTAATTTAATAAACATAAATGTTGGAAGGAATAGGATCTCATTGTTCTAAGAAAGAAAATTCTATTAAAATCACCCTTGGTTAAGGAGTAATTTTTATCATGAAAATAGTGTTATCTAAAATCTCCAAGTATTCAAAAAATAGCATGGAGCTGTTTATTTCTCTCTAAGAAACCCTGATCTATTTATATAGGCATGTGTTTTTCTCCCATTTGCAGAAAAATTGAAGTCTGCTAGATCCCCAGCTGGCCTTACTTCAACAATGAGTGTGGACGAGTCTGAAAACGACGTCATATATGCAGAGATTGGTGAGTTCATGTTACTTCCCCTGCAGTCATGCACCTTACTTGCAGGGGCTTGATTGAAGAATGCTATACTATTTGTAGCTAGCATGGGCAAATTTCTTCAGGTACTGCAAAAGCAGTGGAAGGGGACACTACTGCCACTCAGTCAGTGAGCCAATACTCCTACTGACTGTGCCTGGCAGAGGCGTTATTTCGTGTCCCTCACAATACACATTTGGCACTACCTGTCAGCTGTGCAGCCAAAACTGCAACTGGTTAAATGATTTCTATACAAAAATCTACTGTAAACAGAAGTAAAATGAAGAATTGCGCCTGGCAACTCATGGTGAGGACTGAAATAGCTATTACAGAGGAAAATAAAATTAAAAGACAATAAATAGATCAAAGGCGCAATGCCCATTTACTAGGAGACAAAAGCGGGCTGTAAGTTGTGGCAAAATAAAACTTATGTAGCTCCTGCATTCTGCTCAAAATTGTTCAGTACATGATCATTCTTCATTCCATGTTTCTTAACGTTGACAAGATTCAAAGTCAGTTCAAACTGAAATTGTGAAGTAATGCTAGAGAACAAAGCAACTAACCCACCTTAAGGCATTGTACTACTTCAACTGAAGAAAACACACAATAATGAAGATATCACATGAAAGCCACGATACCGTTATCTTGTAGTTTTCTATATTTGCCTTATATGTGAATGTCAATACGTTCAAGGGAAAAAGAAAGCCCCAAAACAAACCAAGACCTAAGGTACTGTTTCCAGTTTCTAAGTATCAAAAAGGGAACACTTTCTCTGAACCAATCTCCCTTCCTGTCCATGTAGTGAACAGGTACAATTCTAGCTGCCCTGCTTTGTTAGTTGTGCTCTGTGCAGCTGCTCATGCCAGATATCAATCAGTATTTTGCCCACGTAGCCTGCAGGGACAGTGATAACAGCTCTGATAGGGTCCACAAATGCTACAAAAGTATGGTAGATTTATATTCAATCTCATTGCCTTGTTTCAAAAAATTGTTTCAAGATTTTTTAAAAAAAAATAAATCTGGTCAGTCTCTTACAAGTAAGTTAACTGCTGTTCATTGTCTTTAATCTAGAGCCTTTTAAACCAGAAGAAGAATACATCAACTTTTCTGTTTTTAGAAGAGACGACGTAAAAGGTAAAAACCTCAAGCTATAGTATTGAAACATCTGATGCACACAAATACATTTGGGGGGGATTTTGCTGAGATGCAGGGTGTAGACAGTAGCAGTTACATACTGAAATCGCTTACTTACTGTGAAGAAATTAAAATAGGACTCTTCTGAGGAGGAAAAAAAGCAAGTAAAAAGGCTATCAATCATCTGATGACCCAAAAATTCAACAGTCTCATTATGAAACTATGCAAGAGATGCTATTAGTCACCAAGCTGCTGAATACTAATTTTTTGTTGTGTATCTAAAAAAAAATAAATTCCAAATTATGTCATTTGTTTAGCAGAGAAGAGGGCATGTGCTACAGACTATTCAAAGGTCCTCATCAGAGCTCCAGTACAAGGTAAGGTGATTAATCATGTATTTTTAAACAATCTTTTAGATGCAGTAAGTACCAAGTCTGCACAGAAAGAGATGATGTTTAGATACTAGCTTCCTGGCCTAGTACTTTTGTAGACAGGCAATACAACTCATTCTCTACGAACAGGCAAAATCCCCAAGTCACAGTCTCTTAAGGACTTGAACTTAAAAGAAAAAGCAGAACAGACAGCCACCCCATTAGACAAACAGCAGTTTACTGTCCAAACAGCAGCATAAAAACCAAGATGAAACAAAACAAAGCAATCCTTGTCAGGTAACATTCTGCTGGACACAATACGTAGCTTGGCACTATACACATCTGATGAATAAGCAGAAAGGACTCTTTTCAAGGTGACCTGGGAGATGCAGATGGTCTGCATAGGTCAGAAAACAGATGCACCACCAAGTTTTAGCAGAACGATTTGCAGAGAAACCACTGAGTCCATGACACCATAGAAGCCAGTTTAGGCACAAATGTTTAAGAAATTCCTTTTATTCAAAAAATTTAAGTTTATACATTTTTGGCTGACGTCACATACTTAGTTAAAAAGTCCTTCAGTCTAGAAATATGCATCATTTCCTTCATGGTGGTGTCTCTGCTCCTCAGCTGGACCACTCCACTCTCTAGAGTGGCATCAGTTATCAAGACCATGAAGAGAACACTCATCTCATCGTACCTGCAAAGAAAAGAGCACAGCTGTTATTGCTTTTGGTGTACAAAAAAATCCGTTAAGTTAGGTACAAATGACCATAAGCTGTAAATATTTATTTCTTCTATACTGCACTAAGTCCAGTGTGATACTGGTTTTCTTGTTGCTGTTCTTTGCTTTCCTGATTACATTTTTTAAAATTATTTAGTTACTGCAGTACACAAAACCAGTATTACTTGGTGACCTATTCCAAGAGTATTTTTGTAGAAGCAGAATGTGTTTTTCTGAATGGACAGATTTACTTTGAAGACTACTGCACAGAACAAATACTCCTATTTATTTTCTCTTGGGAAAAAATTCACTTTTGATCAACAATCACAATAGCAGGCTTTTCTGCACAAAGAATTATATCACATACACTAACGCTAATGGTTCAGACTTGGAAGAACTTTAAAGTTCAAGACTAGACGCAGTGTGCTACGTGAAAGAGTACTTAAGAATGAAACATGGAACCAGTTCAGATGCAAAAACAGAGGGTGAGAGTGGGAACAGTTCTGGGAGCTTATGACTCATCTTAAGCAATTTCCATAGGAGAGTCTCTAAAAGGTGTTTCATAGTTCCAGACAAACCACACTTATGTGTGAAGGGCTTATATTGTACTTTAAAAAATTAACTATCTGACATTGCTATTCTAACTAATTGAATCCAAGTGTACAGTTTAGGATACATGCCTTCAGTCATGTAGTTACTGCACTCGATGACTTCTTACTGAAAAGAGGCATACTTTCACTAGTCCACAGAAAGTCATCTTTCACCTTCATAGTTTAATTTACAAAAGACTGTTTTTTCCTTACTTTGTATAAAGCTGTTCCAGAGATACCTGCACGGTTTCAAGATAACCCGGCCATACAGAAATTCTATTTTCTGACAGTTCATTGAACAATCCTTGACAAACCTGTGTTTATTCAAAAAGAAAAGTTAAAAGACAGACTTTGAGGATGTGAAATCCTATACAAAGAAAACATTAAAACTCTAGTCTGTATGGTATTAGCATTCCTATCTGGTGTTAATTTTCTGGCTGAAATAATCTCAATTAAATCTCCATTGGTATTTTAAAACACATCAGTGTAAGTTTCCTGCCTTCTGTGGAGACTGCCTTAATGACTGACTTATAATCTTTTTAAAAATCCTTCTGAAGATGTGACCCATGTGTCAATATAATTCTGAAAGATTAAGAAGCGGAGAGGGATTGTGTTAGTTATTTTCCTTAATTTTGCATGGAACAAGTATCAACTCTACCAATAGCACTAAAAGCAGCGTGTTAAAGCAAGGAAGGGATCTGCTGCCCACTGCCTGCAGGGTATGCCTTTGGCTACGACTCACGAGGTGCACACTGGAAGCACTGTCAAATCTGTACAGCCATGGATCTCCAAGAATCAAAGCAGCACCTTGATTTTCCCCAGTGTAAGCAGTGTCTGAATTGTAACAGAAGGTTTAAGGAAAGTCAATGCTGAAAATTAAAATATCTTCTTACAACTTACCTGCCTCAGCTCTGTTGTTGGACCTTTTCCTACATCCAAGGCCACTTTAAGAGGTGCTAAACAAGGGTGAAGCTTAAGTACCTAATAATTTTACAAAAAGCAACAGATTACTAAATGCATTTAATGCGACATTCTAAACAGAACTAAGAAATACTGGTTTTTTTTCACTGAAATTAAGGTTCTAAACATGCAAGCTGTATTTTATATAACTAGTAGACACGCCAGCTAGGTTAGCAAGAAACTACTCTGTTTTGGCTGAGCCCCAAAAAAGAGATTATGTTTTGTTATCAGAGCTCCATCATCTTTAATAGAGTCAGAGTGATCAGAGACAGCCCAACTGGCAGTTACTATCCACTCTACTGCCTGTTCTTAAGGACCAAATGGCTCTTTGATTAACAAGAGCTGTTGAAAGCTAGCACTCTAACTCCAGAAAAACAGGGTACAAGTGGGAATAATGGTGGTCCTTGAGGAAATGTCCCATTGCCATCTGCAAACTGCCTTCTCTACTCCTCTCAGCAACCTTCCAGCACTGCCAGAAGAGACAAACTTCTCCTTCCTGTGCACAGCATCTACATTCCAATTCCTCTTAACTCTACCATTTGCATGGCAAGAGCCTGCCTGCTCATGAGAGAGAAAGAAGGTAGAACAGCAAAAGGTAACCTCAGAATGAGAGAAAAATTGCTTTTGTGGGTGAAAAGGAGCACAAAGGCGGTCCCACGGAACCAGCCTATTGCCACCAGTGAGAAGTGTTCTGACTGCCCCTGTTGGGGCTGGGAACGTAGGAAAGCAGTGTAGAAAAGGGAGGTATTTCCATGCTCAAATTTACCAGTCTGTGGGCTTTGTACTTTCCTTACGCATTCTATGAAAAGTTACCTTTCTCTGTGAATTTTTTCTTTTTGCTATTGGATTCTCGGCTAGCTGTAGAGAATCAAAAAGATAGGCTAATACTCCTCGGTCCAGATTTCCACTCACAGACAGAACATGAGGAATAACATTCTTCCTTCCATCTCGGGCCTGAAAAGGAAAAAAACCACAAAGGGATCCCTCAAACACTGTCCCAAAAAGCCTTTTGTTCGCGTTAAATGTATAATGAGGCACTGAGCTCAAATACCCTTATTATATTTAAAATACAACCAAATACAACCAGGCATGTACTTTAAAAAGTTAACAGCAATCTTAAAAATGACACTAACTAGGTAAGACTGTAACACCAGGGAAAACAGAAGATCTGTGCAGGATGAGGTTATTTTCTTGTCCTGCCTCTGATCATAAATTTAAACCCAGGGCAAATACACCTGAAGCTCTGAATTTTCTTTTGGAGATTTGTAGATTACTTTCAAGTGACCACAAGGATCTATCTCCACCTTTTGATAAATTACTAGGTAACCCACATTTTTGTAGGTTAAATTACAGTCTCCTGCCTTCTGTATAGAAATAAGCTGCAAAATCAGGGAAGTCAGACAGCACGGTCACGAGGAGGTTGTAATTTACTGGTGAAATACCAAGTTACTCTCATTTTAACTATTCAACCTGACTTTTCAAACATTGCCATTCACTAGAAATTTGTCCTTCTCCAATATATTCAGTGGGCAGGCTTCCCTCTGCCCATTCTCCCTGCGGAGTGTGGTAACTTCTATAATGCCATTTGCAGGGTTTATAATCCATAATCCACATATATGTAACTGAACAAGCTACAGGTTCTTCCTGATGCAAACTTCACGCTGCAGAACACAGAACGTGTTTGTTTCGCCATCCACTCACACATACAGGGAAAGGCAGTGCAACTGACAACAGCTATCTTGTCAATACACCTCACTTCTAATTATAAAGAATTAACTCCTGGGGAAAAAAAACCAAACAAACACTATTTTATCTGTGTTGCAATATGAAAATCTGACTGCAGAGTATCAATTGTACTATTTTTACAACAAGAAAATAAAAAAAGACAGTTATGGGCTAAGCGCATGGACCTGCAAAGAAACCACTGCTCTCACACAGTATCATCTTTATCAGAAAATATTTTTAATATAGTAAAGCTTACAAGTAATTTTGAACTATCCCCTGGATGCATCTGTAACAGCTCAGTATCACCAAGATTCTTCAAAGTTTCTATTGTTTCTGTCCCCCAAGGAAAGTTGTAATGTAACTTAAATCCTCTTCTTCCTTCTTCGTCCTGAAAGTCACTGCTACTGAAGTTAGATGGGCCCACTGCAAACTAAAAAGAAAAGAGATCACTACTGTGCATGCCGTATTAACCAGAAAAAAATAAGTCTGTAACACAAGCTGAAGCCTGTGATTTTCAACAAAAAAGATTTTTATAAATTACAGCCCAAATATCTTTGTTGCTTCAGAGCATTTGGATGTGAAATCACTTAAGAACACAAAACATTTGCCTTTCTGCAAGTCAAGAGCACGTATATTTCAATGACCAGAACAAGCCAGCAATGAAACGCCAAACGACCGTGGTGTTTATTTCCCCTCTTTGAGATATAAAGGAGCAGGCCAAGATTTCCTGTGGGTGCACTGCTGTTACCTTTCTCCACCACTGGAGCCTCTGGCGTAACCAGTAATCGAGCCACTGTCCTGAAGTTCTGGGAGAACTAAACCATGCAAGCAAAGATGTGGTCCTTTCGCCTATTCTTTAAACAATAGCAAGGTCAGCAAGTTAACTCCTTCAAAAATAACAGGGAAAAAGCAAGAGACAGCATTCAAAAATAATCCAGAAGTGAAACAACTACATACAGTTGGTTTAAGTATGGAAAGGGATTAATCCCTCTTACTACTCTACCTTCTAACGTTTTTGTTGTGTTGTTCACTTTCTGCAACGGAGTGAAAGCACACTCCAATTTGAGCAAGGCCACAAGGCAGTCTTTTGTTCATCAATTCTAAGCAGCTAACATATTGCGCCAAAGCACCTGTGAAAACACAAACCATTAATTTTAGCAGCCTCAGGAAAAAAAAATTAATTCTATGGACAGTGAATGTAGCACATATGACACATGTGCTGTTTGCACGTGCAGTCCCACCACCATTAACGCTTTGCAGG